AAAGCGTTGCTCGAGAAGGGCAACGAAGCTTGGAGATTGGGAATCTCCAGGCTCCATCCATGGCATAGGGATCTCTCTTTGAAGATAGGCCAAGCAGATGAGATGAATGGGAGTGGTATGGGACCCATGTTTTTGAATAGGATTTATATGAAATGTTATACCCTCTGGTAAACTAAACATAACTATGGAAAATCACCATTTTTCATGGGTAAATCAACTATAAATGGCCATTTTCAATAGCTATGTTTGTTTACCAGAGGGTACATATACCAACTTTTCTGCCATGGATGTACCGTACGTACTAGTGAAGCTCGGATGGATCGAAGACCGACCTCCCAATGGTCCTACGGCGATTGAGCAATACTCATGAGAGACTGGGAGTGCTACATGTCCCATTTTGACATCACTTTCAGAATCTTGTTGGAACATGTTGGAATTGATTCCCCAACTGGGTGGGTGATTCTAACAACATTTATACAACATATGACATTTCACATCATTCTCACCACTTCACTCTCAGACACCTGAAGTCACTGATATCATGGTATCACCTTTCTACCCCGGTCGCTCTCAGGAACATGCCCTCTACGACACCGCCGGCATCATCGGCTTCTTCGCCACCATTACCATCGTGGTGGACTTCTCCGGGCACTTCTCGGAGGCGATCGGAAAATTTCATGGGAAAATCCATAAACATCCAGGAGATGCTATTGGTTTTCATCCACTCAACCAAGGCCAATTATGTATGGGAATATATAATTAGTGCATATTAGCATATATTAGCTGTTTCGAAGAATTGAAGTTGAGGTTTCGGTAGGACTTCAGCAAAAATCCAGGATTTGATGAAGATGTTCGACAAGATGGCCAACATCATTTCCGGCGGCCGCAAGATGCGCCAGATGGTGCGGCAAACCTTGTGTTGCCAATTGGAGTAGACCTGGCCACAGGATGGTTCGGACCAGTGAATGTTTGAATGGATGCCCCATTTTTGCGATGAAGCTTTGCTGTTTTGGCTGTTTTGGCCGTTTTGGCTGTTTGCACCTCAGATTATGACTTTATATTACTTTTGATATTTTATTTGTAGATTATTGTCAATGATTGTAGATCTTTAGTTGATTCTTCTACATGGCTGATGCATCTGCAGCGAGATTCGGAGCTGCGAGTTCCCCAGTGATGTGACGTAGTGCATCAAGGCATCCTGGCGCGGCCCAGTGCTGTGCACGACTGAGAAACTGGGGCAGCGCAGCTCCATTTATCGCTGTCACCGCTGTCACCGCTTGCGTTTGTTGTTTGCTGTTGGTATTCTGAATTCCATTACCCTCTGGTAAATAAACATAGACCCTGAAAATGACTAATTTTTAATGGAAACTAGTCTTCCAATCCCTATCTGCCAGGGTCTATGTTAATTTACCAGAGGGTAATATTTGATTCACTGCACATTTTATCATTTAGACGTGTGGACGATGTGGACGCTTGTTTAAGATGCTGGTCGATTGGTCGATTCAGCCCAGACAGCATTTCTCTGTAAAGGTTTCATCACGCCATGGGCCTGCCCTGAAAATTGGTGCAGACCCGCCCTTTCGACCTCTGTCAACCTTGTACAGAAACATGGTCCATCCTCGACTGAGCTGGCCGCTTTAATTCAAAAATGGCTGGCTGTGTCTGAAGAATGGGAGGCCTCCCAACAAATTGCTATTTGATGGAGAATTAGATGATAAACCATGGGATAGATTACCCAATTTTATCTGATTTTCATGAATTTTCAGACAAAACATGACAACAATATTAGGCTAAGGCATCTTTGGTGATCAGATGCGATCAGTTGCTGAGAGATTCTTTGATATCGGTGTTTTTAAAAACAATGTGTTGCCACGCTGCCAGAATTTTTCTCCGCCTTAGATCCAGATTCGATCGCAGGAGTATGGCCGCGAAATTGATGTTTGGGCCTGCGGCGCCTCTCGGTACATCATGATGTTGGTATGTCATCGACATGCCGCAGCAATGGAAATCAAACACAACATCCCTGGTTGGTGGTTTCAAGCAATATGATAAATTCTGCAACCTGGGATGATACTGATGTAACTCAAACAGTTCTTCACATGTTCCACCATTCATGGTTGGCAAGAGATCAATGACTCAGAGGGCTGGAAACATGTTGAAATCAGACCAGATTCCCAGGTTATCACCTTTGTTGTGCTCAGTGGAGCCTTACCGTTCTTCAACTCGATCCTGCACAAGTTGCTGCTCGGAGCGTGGAATGAACACGGCCTTGAGACGACACCACCATGTAGGTAGTGTTGCCACGCCAGCGGGACATCAATCGACATGAATCAACAATGGCTGAGGTTGGAGAGTCTGCTGAAAAATGTTTGGAATTGTTTAGACCCCCAAACCTCTTGGGTAGATCAGGTGAAGGGGAGAAAAAATGAGGGGCCCAGAATTGGTGGAGGCGATCGTCAATCCTCTGAGGTATCGCCAAATTGTGGAGAGGGATCTCAGCTTCTCTGATCACAGATGGAAGTCGGTTTCCGCTGGGGCACAGGACGGTCCCAGTGGAAACATGGGAAGGTCTCAAAATGATGAACCCCATTTTGGGATGTTTTTTTAGACACTTATGAAACATGGGTTACCAATGGACCTACTAAATTGATGGTTTTCTAGTATTTCGCAATACATTCTTGGGGGTATATCAATGTATATCATTATATCATGATATCATGATATATCATGAGATATTGTGATATACCCATTTACAATTTGTTATTTGACCCATGTAGATTGGAAGATTTTCCCATTTGGGGGATGGGTGCGCATGGATCACAAGAAATTGTCAGTTGTGGGAGCCCTGACCTTTTGGGGATGAGATGCATGTGATGTTTGAAGATTAAGAACGTGGCAAAGTTGTCAACAAAGGCTCAACAAGCAGAAGAGTAGACTTCCCTGCATTGAAACAGTTCCGAAATCCCAGACACTATTGGCACTATCTGCAGATACATGTTTTGCATATGTTTTGCATTGTTTATCGCCACGTTGAGACGCACAATATGTGCATGGGACTTCATCTTGATGAAGCGCAGTGGTTGTTAGCTGACCAATCCTTCAATGCCGTTTTCCCCAAGCTCACCAATGGGCCAGAAACTAGCATTTGAAGTGGTCCAGGACGGTACGATTTTTGGCTCAGAAAGAAGCTCCATCATTCTTGGCCCATTGGAAAGCCCCAGGACTTCATCTTGCGCCTGCTTCAAGTCCGGGCAGGCGATCGGCTCAACGCCGAACAGGTGGGTACCTATGATTGCCTTTTGACAAAGCTGTGAGTACAAGGTGGTGCCCCATAGTTAGCTAAGTTGGTTTATAACTCCAATAACTATGGTTTATAGGTGATATATCCATAGTTAATGGGGTTTATAAACCAATTTATAACTAGGGGGCACCACCTTGTAGGTATCCATTGGAATTCCCCCCATCCCGAGGGTTTCCATTGGATTCTTCGGTCTGCACCGTGGTCGCCAGGCACTCCTCCACCCTTGGCTTCGAACGGTGACCACGGGATCCTTCGCGAGCGAGTCCAGCCACAGCACCCGGGGCGGGCCCGTGCCGGTGCGTCCCGTGCCCGTGCAGCCCAACTATTATAGCTGGGAAGCTTAGCTGGAAGCCATTGGGGAGGCCATGGCGAAAAGTGGAACAATTCCAGTGATGTAATGGGATGAATATATGGGTTATAACATGGATGAAATATGATGAAATATTATATTACTCAATAATTCTAATTTCATTGGAAACTGTATGGAAACATGCATGGAACGGAGATGAAAGGAAGGTGATTGATACGCTGCTTCCCGGGTATGCTGTGCATGGAAGTTGGTTCAGGGCAAATCTGCCGGAAAATCTCCTGTTGGCAGGCAGTAAAACCCATGGGTTTCCATATAGATGTTCCTTTAAAGTTTGAAGAGTCAAAGTTCATGGATTTCATGGGGAGCCACCGATCAGTGGTATGCCTTCAGGTGCAGCTATTCCTCAAGGAGTCATCTCTCCCACAGCCAAGGGAAGGCACCCGCAGCCACTGGGTTTGTCTGAAAATGTTGCGCAACCTCCAGCATCGCATGGTGGTTGATTTGTCTCACCTAGACAGTTTTGGGGAACCTCCGAATCATCCAGTTTTGCACAAGCCTCTACTGTACCTCTATTAGTACACCATGGTACTGCGAAATGGAGAATTGATCAAAACTATTGAGCAAAGTGCATGGCAGGGTGGTCGTCTTCGCATCCAGCACTCCAGCTCCGGCACAGGTGATGTGGGCTGGCGCTTTCCATGTCTGGATTGGCGCTTTCGGGAGCCGGAGCCATGCCTGTCCCATGCCAGCTATCCAGCCCTGGAATCCTGCGACAGGAACATCGCTGCCAATGCTGGTGTAGCTTTTTCACTTGGGAGTCTTACTTGAATCATTTGAATCTACCTAGCAGAGAGTCGGCCTCCAAACATTTTGCATGGATTGGATTGTGAAACCTCCCTTGGTGAACGAGTTTGAAAGAATAACTCACCATGAACTTCAAGTGACTGCAATGTCAGTCACAATTGAGACCACCGACCCACACTGACGCGGGAAAAGGCGCAGTCATGGGGATGAATTGGGAATCAGGATGACTTGGTTTCAGAATGATCTGGAAGTGGTACCAACAAGAAATCCCACAAGGGTAGATGAAATTCTGCAATAATCGGGTAAAGAGAGCTGCGCTAAGTTCGGGATGGATTCAAACCAACATCACTCTACACCCCAATCTGTGTATTCCTATGTAGGATTATGTAAGTATGGATTAAGCTGATTAAAACACCTCAGTCATCCTCAGTGAGTTTTTTGTCATCAAGTTGCCATAAATATATATATATAAATATCATAAATTAGCTGGAATTCATTGGAAGTTCCTTCTACCCCTAAATCATGTTGGAATCGGTCCTGTAGTTCCTCGAGGTTTTGGGGATGGTGACCGGGCGACAAAAAACACCACACCGCGGCCGTGGGAATTTTTTCGGCGAGTCACGGGGCGGGAAAAAACAGAGCTTTGTAGCTTGGAGGGGCTGCTGGAAGTGAGAAGCTCAGAGATTTCGCAGTTGTGTGGACAGGTGGCGAAGATTGTAATGTGTACATAATATAATATACATATATATATAATGAATTGTTCATATATATATATAGTATTAATTATTGAATTTGATATGATATATGGTTCACTATATATAGTTTTGCATTGGGTAATAACCAGTTGATCCCTTGTTTGGAGATGTCTATAATATATTTTGGTATCCCCAATGGCAAAAATGGGTATAGAGGAGGCTCTCCAGCTACCTGGAGGTGCTTTCACAGAATGCACAAATTGGTGATGTCACCACAAGAAAATTGTGATTTTGTGGGATAATCATGGGGATATAATGGCATCCTTAACTCTATAACCATCAATATCCAATTTAGTTTTGTCTGAAAATGGGATATACCACCAAATTTGCAATGTTTACAGGGAACATATGAACTTGATGATAAACCAGTGGTATTTTCGGGGTAGCCTATTTTCAGACAAACCCAAATATTTTCTCTTTCCATCCTGGGATGATACTGGTTGCTGAGGACATGGGGGAAAAGCCACCAGAGGAAGAGAAACCCGCAGAGCTCTACCCCATCATGGGGTTAGCTCAGAAAAGGACCCAAGTTGGCACTCTTGCTACCATCTCTTGGAGGATCCTCTACTGTAGATATTTGTTTGAATTCTTGAGATTTTTTTGGTGACTTCTTCCGTTTGAATCCCAAGACTATTGTAAAGTTGGAAGGGTGAAAAAGAGAGCCGCTTAAACACGTTGGGTTCTCCAACCGTATGCATAGGACATCCCTGATGAACGAGAGTTGCCCCAACCGTTGCGATCTCAGGGCACCCTACTTCCAGGTGAAAATTTCGAGGATTCCATGAATTTCGTTTTGAGTCGTTGCGTCGTTGGAAATGGGTGAAATTGCTGCGAACAGTCTGCGAACTGAAGGTTGGAACCCCTGGTGGTTAATGGTGGTTAATGGATATATATCTGGTTGGTGGTTTCAAGTCTTTGTAGACACGAAGTCTTGGTAGATTGCACAGTTCACCAAGAAAAATACTTGCCGCTGCCCAATTGCTGATGAATTAAACAACGCATGTATATTTATAGTAACCTATAATTATTCAAGATCATAGAAATGGTTTGAAGAAATTCACTAATTCGAGTAGATTTTAACAAATTCCACCTGAGTTCAGAAAATTGTGTACCCCTAAATCCACGGGTTTATCGTAATTTTCCCAATGATTCAATGGCAATTTTAGTGGTATCTCTCATTTTCAGACGCACCCAACAATTATATGTGGTTGATTGGTTATATGATATGCCCATTATATCCCACAATAATCGCTTGGTTCGCCACAAAAAAAACAGTTATAACATCCCTGCCATTTCAATGGTGAGACCCTTTAGGAATCCACCAGTTTCCTGTTAGGTATCACCTTTAAATGCGATTATAAATATTATAAGTCACCAGTAATATCCCACTAATATCCATATTAATGGTGACTTATAATGGCATTAAGACCCCATTAAAAGTCACCTGTTGTCACTAATCCACCAGTAAGACCCCATTAAAACAACAACCCATAAAAAGCCTGACAAGACCAGCTGAGGCGATCGAATTCGAAGCGAGCTCCTGGCGACGGTCCGTGAGAAGGGCCGCTTTGCTGCTCTGGACGTTTCAACGTCGATGTTTCAACGTCGATGTTTGCGTGGGATTTTACCATCAAAATGGTGTTTTCATGGGATATCACGGGGATATAATGAGAACTTTACAACCAACTACAGTATCTCCAATTCGGGTGAGTGCAAAAATATGCTGGCCCAAAATGGTTGTCCTTATAGCGAAATTGATGATCCGCCATGAAATTATATATGGGAAAGTATTGGATAGCCCGAATTTTCAACCTGACCCAGTTGTGCTAAAGGCAGGCGTGATGCAATGGGATTTTGGGGCTCCACCATGTTCCAACATGAATTGAGATCCCATTTGTATCGATTCTTGTTGACCAGAATATGTTATTTTGCAGAAATAAAACCGAAGTTCACCACGGAGGAATCTGAGTTGAAACTGATGAAACATCTATGAAGTTCAAGTTGCTCTTCTGTGTCATGGACAGCGGGAAACCTGGCAAGATAATGCACAGTTCGGTTCGGGTCTTGCAATCTGGTGATTTGCTTAGACCTGTGGCTGGTGAGCGATGAACATGATGAACCAAGGTATGCTTCCGTACTATGAGAAGTACCTATGTCCCGAGCTCTGCTGAATTCTTCGAAGCTTCAGGTTTTCTGAGATCAGCCAGTTGTGTAGAGATCAGTGGGTCAAATTTGAGGGACCCCGATGCAAAAGGGGATGCCATTGGATGCCCAAGACAATCTGTCCGGTGGTTTCAAGAATAGGTGCAGCAAATTGATGTTTTTAGTGATGATCCATGGATTCCATCCCTAACCTGGGGTGATGATATTGTGGTGATCCCATTTGACCGGAAAATTTTGCTGGTTGGGCCAAGTGCTAGGCCCCGGACCGGCTGGACCGCCGGATGAAGCACTCAAGGCGGATCAATGGGATTTTGGCTTGTCTCAGTCCTATCTCAAAGAACTGGATGAAAGGGAAACTGATGCAGGAAAAGGATGGAAAAGGCTGTATTGACTGGGGAAGACTTTCATCAGATTTTTTGTGAAAACCAAAAAAGTTGCAGCCGCGTTTTTACATCTACCAGCTCACTGAGAAAAAATCCTCGGGATGATCGACTTGTGAAGGCTGAGCTGAAGAAGCAAAATGCAGAGGAAGAAGCGGCAGACTCAGCATTTGAAACACCATTGCTTGGAAGCAAAAGACTTTGGGGTCATCTTGCTGATGGAAATCCACTAAGTAGCAACACCTAAAAGTGATACATGTATAATTATATATATATAGAATGACTGAAACATAGTCATAGATATTTTATGGTACCTCAGTGACGGCAGCCAGAAGCACCAGGTCCATCATCACCAGCCTGGTCCAGCCCCAAAAACGGGCCGTGAGGCAAAGTTGGATGAGAGAATTAAAGATGCCAAAGAGAACTTGGGCGACATCGAGTGGGATCCCTGGGATCGCCATGGGTGAGGAATGCTGCACCCTGGGTGCAGACCTCTTGGGTCAGTTGCTTGTAGGACAATGTGATGGCCATGGTATCTTTCTCTATTTTGTATCTGCATATGTATATACTCAGGACAGAATCCCGCATATGCACATACATATATGTAAATATAGACAGTATGTCAATGTAAACACACCTCAGACCTTCATTGATTATATATGATTAATTATATAAAGATCTGTAGCCTAACAGCGTACCTTTTTAAGCATCTTTTTCACTCAGGATTCGGGATGCTCTCTTGGCCAAAGCCGACTTCTTCAACCGCATCGGTGACAAGGAGCCTCCCATAGCCATCCACTGTCTGAAAATCCCATTCCATCCACTGAATCCACTGGTTTCTCATCATCAATTTCCTGAGGTTTCAAATGGCAGAAATCAACAGATTGGCAGATTGGGGCTGCAGTCATCCTCTTGAAAACCAACATCTGCAGAGGAGAACCCACCAGTGATCATGTTCCTGGGAGTTCACCGTTCACCATGGCGTTTCCACATCTTTTTCTAGGTAAAAAAAAACCAGGGTGGGGACCCCAGATATTTTCAGACACCAAAAACCGCATCCGTTTCTGCCAGGATCAGGCGATCAAAGGCTATGAGGAGAGCTGCTGGTTGGTGGTTTAGAAGATTTTATATTTGCCCATATATTGGGAAGAATATGGAAGATATGTTATATGTTTCCATATATTGGGAAGAATAATCCCATTTGACTGATATTTTTCAGAGGGGTTGAAACCACCAGAAAACTAAAGAATTGTTGTCCCCCAAATCATCTCAAATCCACGTCCTGTGGGACTCGCTGAACCCTCTGGCTGAACCGGCGGCAGGAAGCCTATGAGAAGACTGTGGGTGTGGGCGGCAAGCTGGACAACATCCTCACGGCTGGGATGCCAAGGGAAATTCTATGAAATTCTCAGATTTCAGCCGCGGAAAAAGGTGGATTAACATGGATTACCCTCTCGTAAACTAACATAGCTATGGAAAATCACCATCTTTAATAGTAAATCAACTATCAATGGGCCATTTTCAATAGCTATGTTAAATTACCAGAGGGTAACCACCAAATCAGCTGGTGTAGGTGGATTTGTTCTGCGAAAGTGAGTGGATTTCAGCAAGAATAGTGAGGCTGTTGACCAACAATTTCCACAATATGTTTCCATGAAAGAGGACACTCTCCCGCTGAAAGTGATGGTACTACAACACATATCATATATATATACATACGTATATTATATAATGATTGGTCCCATTGGCCCATGTTTTTTATCACGCGGGGAATGCATCCTGGTTTTTTTGTTGCCCACTGGGCTCTCGGCGAACGCGAATTCCAAAAAACTACTGCCCAAAGCACGGCCATGAGCTCTCCGATTGTCATTGTATGTCATTGTCAGGTCATCCGGATCGCCTTTTTCTTTGAAGACACGGTGCCGTTTCTCAGACCTTTCGATGGTTTGATCATGTTTGATCCCATTTGGATGTTTCCTAATGGCTGCGGGGTACCCCAAATCATCCAGTATTGAAACCTATGGTGACTTAGGGGATCCCCACTCTAAGAAACCCTCATTTCACAGATGGTTCTCAGCACAGTTGGGCCCACATGTGGCAAATGCGGACTGAAAAACAAGGCCTTGATGAAGAAGCACATCGACCGAGCGAAGGTTGAACTTGGCAAAGGAGGTGGGCCTCAGCTGGAGCTGTTAGCTGTTGGATATGGTCTGATGGGTCTTGGGGTGGGTCTCAGTGGCAACTATACTCTTTGGTAGGATCAGGTCTAATGCAACCAGCCCATTGTTCCACCTTCTATGCCGGCCACGAAGGTGATTGGGAGAGGCGAAACAAGCTGAAGGCGCACATTTTGACTGGCGACCAGCCAGAGTTGAGGGTTTATGGATGTTCAAAACATTGGACGTGCCCAAATCGCAGGAATCAGCAATGTCGCTGCAGGTCTACGAGGGGATCTACCTCATGATTTCCAGGAGTTGGAAAGAGGCCGCCAAGCTCTTCTTGAACGTGATGCCAACGTTCACAGCCACCGAGCTGGTCGAATTCAAGGAGAGTACCTGAACTACCTGAATTCCCCAAAATCCAGGGGTGGAGTCTTGTGATAAGATTGCTGCACTTTGGTTCCGTATAGAAGTGTTGGTTCATCTTGGTTGAATATGGTTCCGTATATATACGTATATATATATAACATATATATGAATATATATATATATATTATACTGTATATGTTGATTTCCATCCCACAATTCTTGGTGAAATCCTGATGTTTGCTTCTTCCATTCCATAGTTGCCTGTTCTGTGTTCATTTCCATCTGCAACATCGACCACATTGCTTCCCCAAACTGGGTAGCCCAAAAACTGGGCCCAGACCCATGTGTCAAGGGGTGCTTTGTTGGATTTGTCCGGAGGACTTCGTCTTCTATGCCGTCATTGTAGGGGTGGTGCAGAGCTAAGTTGCTGTCAAAGTATGTCTCCTGGAGCTCGGTTTACCCCAAAGTTGCCGTGCTTGGGGAAGTTTCTGATTCACCATCATTGATACCCGAGAACTCATGGTGATGCGATTGGAGAGTGTTTGATGTAGCAGTCATCACTGGACCCTGGGCTTCTGTTTCCAGTGGTTCAGAGAGGAACCAATACCAGTTCATACCAGTCCTATAATCCAAAATGATTCGGACAAATCATGATACAGATATAAACATAATTAAACATTAAACATGACTAAATATATATATATATATATACTGATAACTAAACATTAAACATGACTAAAGATTTATATAAAGATATATAATGATAAATATATATATATATATACATTATATAAACATGACTGGAATCCGATGCTTTCATGTCATCAATTCCCATGTCAGGTGTCCATGGATCGTCCCACAGTGCGGAATCAGTTGGTGACGAGTCCTGAGGTGGGACCAATGGGTTTCCCATGGTTTGACCCTCTGATGTGAGGATTCTATAGGATTCTATAGGATTCTATAGGATTCCAATGGATTCCAATGGATTTTCCATGGGTTTTCTATTGTCCTTTTTCTGGTCCTAGAAACCTGAAAGGGAAAGGAACAAGATGGAAAACGTCGAATTTCTGCATGTGATGGCATGTGTATTTTGAAAATCCGGGCCCCGCAATGTTTCGGGTATGACCACATCATCCATCCGAATCAATCCCGAAAACGTTGCCAAAGTTGCCATAGCTCACCAGTTGAAAACGGCGTGGAATGCAGGTGCTGAGTGTCATCAAGGAAACACCTGAACTGCAGACATTCTTAGAGTCGTACTTCTATTGCTTCAGGCTCAGGCGGATGGAAACTGTTGTTGATTTCCCTGAAAATGGATAAAATGGATGTAGCTGTCGGTGGTTCACTGGACATGGATCAAAATTTTCGTGATATCCCTTGTTTTTTTTCAGAAGTTGCGATGATAAAATGGATATGTTGGTCGAAGTTCAAGACCCAATTGGCCACTGGCCGTTGATTAATTGATATTCAATATAGAGCTTTAGCATTGGTTAAGCAATGTTGATCATTCATTGTTGGGCGTCCCAATCTTGAGCCATACCCAAACCTTCCCAAGCCACCAGCCCCGCTACAGGGCCGCAGAATCTGAGGTCGCTACAAATCCTTCATGCAATCCTTTGTGAAGGTCATCGACCTGATCCGAGCAGACAGGCAGCCCCTGCGAAAAGGGGAAGCTGGAGATGTTTTCCCTATGAAGAAGGGAAATATGTTTTCCATAGTTTCTAACGGTTTCTACATGATTCTATGTTCTTCAATCTGTGGCTGGAAGCAATGAAAACAGCGAAAACACGCTTTTTCGAGAAAACAGAATGGATCTAGTCTACAATGTGACCAATTCTTTGCTCCCGATCCACCAAAACGCCCCCAGGTCATTCCATCACACCATGCACCAGTTTGACCATTGACAGGTACCTCATGCGGCATGTGAAGTATTTCATGCGCTCCATGAGACTCAACGCCTATAGGCAGGGCTTTGTCATGTTGGGGAGAAACAAAAGGGGGCAGAGGCGGGCCGATCGTTAATGGCATTTGGAGCCACGCTGAGACGAGCACTACATGCCCTGGTTTGTTAGTAGGCATTCAACATCAACTTGGATTCCATACAGAGTTTCCTGGGCTTTCCAAGGTTATTCTGACATGTTTCACCTTGCAGAACACACGGGATCAATGCACCCTAGCTATCATGCTATGTTTCTACCATGTTCTTGCGATATTTCGGTGCGGATTGGAGGCCAAATGACATCCAACCCCGAGGCAGTTCTTAGCTTCCTACCGCTCAGTGAAGTTGGAGGCATATCACCGGGGCTGACCATCACCTGTCGTGTTATTTGGTGAAGATCTTGGAAATGATGACGCATCGTTGCTGTCGCTGTTAACTGTTACATGATGCTCCGATGCTTCGTTGGAGCTGCCAAGTCCTTGCGCTTTTTAAGGAAAGGTTCAGCGGCTTTAAATACCATGATTGATTGATAAGGGATGGAAGATATGGGGCACGGATCAAAATTGCGGACATCGCTTGGATGGTTACTATTGTAGAAGTGACACGGATTTGTTGGACGCCTGGATCTAGCATCTTCAACCATGTTCAGGTAGCATGTATACATGTTTATATACGTGTTATACAGTTGTCCTATCCATTACGTATGTATGAAAGTATTTGATTGTATTTGTGGATGTATACAGTAATTAGTCTGTTCTAGGTATACAACTGCGTATCCCATATCATTCCAAATGCATACTGCTCAAAAGTATTGGTTAATATTTTGGATGAATAAAGAAAAGGTAAAAGGAACCATTCTATATCCCATTGTACATGGCCATAGACGAAATTTGTTGATCAACATCCTACACATCCACATTTGCATGCCATTCTTGCCAGTGAATATTCACATCCTTGCTGATTAAGATCCATTGAGCAGCTAGTTTGGCAGCTCATGGTAGCGCTTATCGTGGAAAAATGAGGGCATCATGGAGATATCACTATTCGTTGCTTAAATCCACTTGTATAGATCCATTTAGATCATTTACAGTGCATCTTTGAACTATTCAATGCAACCATGTCAAATCTAAATCTAGTGATTTAATGTGATTTAAACATCCCATGTTCAATGCTTATCCTCATTTTCCATGTTCCATGTGTTGAACTATGATACCACACAATTCATTGCCTAAATCCATTTAAATCCCCATGTTTGAATGTTGAATCGTCATTTTCCCACGTTGGACTGGTTGGAGAAACTTCGTCCCTCAGGCCATGGCTACCGACTTTGGCGTCTCCGCCTCCTTCATCGATACCGAGCTCTCGTTCGAGCCCCAAAAAAGATGGAGTTGAACTCATCTGGGTGACATTTTTTTCGGTTTTTCCCATATTGTCCCACTAAGACTATCTAAAACTGCCATTTATTGAGGGAATGTTCCATTGCCACATTTGAAAAAATGGAGGGTATATCATATGTGCCACATTGCCGGGGGATGGTCATCAGCCGTTTTGCTGCGTTTTGACCATGGCACATATATATTATGGGGATGATATTATGGTGATATAGTGAAAGATCCAGTGGTCACAAATGAAGTGTGCTGTCCTCCTTTTTGTGGAGCAATACTCCTACTCCGTAGCACTAGTCCAAAGAAACCAAGTATTTCCTTCAAGGATTTCAAGAAACATATGTTTGAAGATATTGTATTCCTTTGGCAAAATGTAGCATCCCCTTTCAGGCAGTCACTTATGGCTACTAGTTTGCAAAACTCGCTTACATGAGATTTGAGCGTTGAACCTTCTTTGATAAACAGTAACATGCTTCTTGATATCTATTTGTCGGACTCTGCAAGACAAGCAGCATGTTGCATTGCAAGGACCAAAGTTTGTGTTTTTTTGGTTGCAGGATGTGGCAGCATATGTATGTATATATAGTAAGGATCCAGCAGATAGAATATAAACCATAATTCACCCCCCAATAAAAAATACTACATAAGCAGGTTTGCAGGCAGGAATTTCAGCAGATAGAATACCGGCAGGTACGGACTAGATCCGTGTATATATATATAGGGTTTTGTAACATTTTTGTCTTAAAAAACTTTAAAAAAATATTTTAATTATTTTTATTTTTTTTTATTTTTCTATAAAAGATATAATTTAGATATAAAAAATATTCTATCTGTTTGATTTGCATATATATATATATATATACGATTTGGTGAGAATTGATGCAGAACACAACTAAAGATATATCTTTTGTTATCTTTTTGTTTAACAAATATTCACACATGTATGCAGGTTTGAACATTTGTTTGTATGCAAGCATTGCTGGTAAGCATTTCCAGTGTATAATATGCAAGTAATATTTAATTAATTTTTGGATCAAACAGCAAGAATGACCGTACATCAACTGTCCCATGAACCCATGACAGCAAGTGTATTCACTGTATGATTAAAGACAATTGCAAACCATATTCTATATAGAGAATTGATGCAGAACACAACTAAAGATATATCTTTTATCTTTTTGTTTAACAAATATTCACACATGCATGCTTCTGACATGATCATGTTTCCTTTATATGACGATACTGGAATATTCTATCTGTTTGGTTTGCCTATATATATATATATATGTTTTGATGAGATAGATGCAAACAAAAACTGTACAATTAGAAACCACGAACATGTGAATATGTACAAAATCGACATTACATATTATTCTCACATTATATTCACTGTATGCCAGCATTGCTGGCATGCAGGTTTGAACAATTGTTTGTATGCCAGCATTGCTGGTAAGCATTTCCAGTGTATAATATGCAAGTAATATTTAATTAATTTTTGGATCAAACAGCAAGAATGACCGTACATCAACTGTCCCATGAACCCATGACAGCAAGTGTATTCACTGTATGATTAAAGACAATTGCAAACCATATTCTATATAGAGAATTGATGCAGAACACAACTAAAGATATATCTTTTATCTTTTTGTTTAACAAATATTCACACATGCATGCTTCTGACATGATCATGTTTCCTTTATATGACGATACTGGAATATTCTATCTGTTTGGTTTGCCTATATATATATGTTTTGACAAGAATCAGAAAAAGAATGATCAGAAGAAGAAGGATCAGAAGAAGACCAAGGAGAACAAGGATGACCGCAGAAAGTATCGAGATGTGCGCGACATGCAGTGAAAAAAAAAGGATGAACTGACGTGAGGTGGATTTGTTGATCTGGGTCATATGTGAATTCTGTTCAAAAGGCAATTAAAAAAGGGTCCAAAATCAACAGATAGAATATTCCAGTGGATCATCTCCCACACAAACTAATCTTATGTTACAGTATGAGTGTGTTTGATGGTGTGCCAGCTCTGCTGGCTACCATCACTGATTGGAGTCTGGTTGTTGTGTTTCATGTGATGCTCAACTCAATTTGAATAGTTTCTTAACTTTATATTAATTCCATATATATATAACATATTATATATACATATATATGTATATATATGTATATATTTCAAAAATTGAATAAATTCATTGGGTTTTTCTACTAAAAACGATATATCTACGTATAATATATTGATATTTTTGATTAGTTTCTTAGAATATTATTTTTATATATGTATATTTCAAGTTTGAAGAGTTTCTTTAATTTTCTTTCAAAAAATTGTTTATACATATGATATAATGATATGTTTGCTTAGTTTTCTCAATATATATATATATTAAGTTTGAAGAGTTTTCTCGAGTTTTATCATATAAAAACAATGTATTTGCATAGGATATGTTCATAATTTTGATGATTTTCTTAAATTTATACATTCCGTATTCTATCTCTTGGTTCCCACCTGCAAAGCGAAATCCAGATTCTATCTCTTGACCATATCTTTTTTAATATTCTATCTGCTGGATCCTTACTATATATATATATATGTATTGTATTGTATACTTATGCAAATACCCGTACGAATACACATTTGCATCTTGTGTATACAGTACAATGTCCACCCTTCATGTAATAGTCACATAAGTAGATTTCTTTACAACACGTGTATATTAACTTTATTAACTATATATCTGTTTGGTGGTTTGGAACATGAATTTTTAATTGTTCCCATCATATTGGGAATGTCATCATCACTGACTTTCAGTCCATAATTTTTCAGAGGGGTAGGTCAACCACCAAGCAGATATAGTTTATCACCAAAAGTCCATCAGAAAGACCCACAGCTGCCAACGTTTTTTTTTGGGAACCTCAGGTCGTTCATCTCCTCAGGGAAATTGACCTGCAAGATCGACAAGGTGGGGATGGGAGGATGGGAGCTGTTTCACCCCAAAATCTCATGAACAGCAGATGTTATGAGATTTGTTGCCTCAGGAAATTTATTAGAAATATATATATATATTATATATATATAGATAAATTGTTTATTTAGCTATGTTTGTTGGGAAATTGTGAAAAAGATGGGCAAATTCGAAAGATCGGGGGATTCTGTAAATTGTGTCTTCGATTCCGTGAGAGGGGGGTGGCCTTGAGATTTGGCGGTGGATCGGCCCATGTTGATAGAAAGCGGCCATGGTGGATACCCAAATTGGTGCTTGGCCAATTTTCACGATGTTTTTTGGTGATGACATTAATGGCTGTTCAATATCACTGGAAACAATCCTCGGACTGAAGTTGAAGGATGAACGGGCCATATCCAAAACATCCCAAGACAAGGTGGATGGTTAGTTGTCTCAAAATATGGACCATATATATAGATGATTTACCACTAACCATCATTAACTATTATCCATCATTAACCATCATTAACCATCATTAACCATCATTAACCAATATCGAAGACCCATTGGTTCATAGCTGCACTTTCCACATCGCCAAGCGTTCCATGGCTCAAAATGGGGCTATCCCCCATTTGGAGACGGACCCATGAAAAAAACCTTCGCAGATAGATGATTGAACACTGTAATCAGTATTTAATCCCCATAGATTCCCATATAAAATGGTTGGACATTGAAATTGTAAGTAATAAATTATGAATTCCATGAAATATTCCCATGACATTCCCATGAAAAAAATCCCATGTATTACTACACATAGTGCATTGAAGATTGTATTACTACAAATGGTTCTTTATGTTTATCCATTATATCCATAAATCCCATATGAATCTCATATAAATCCCATATAAATCCCATATATCCATGTATAATCATATATATATCCAATAATCCTTGAGTAGTAGAAATAGTATATATAGTTATCCAATAATTGATGCTTCATGGGCGATTTTCACCACTCCCTGGAAAAACCAGGTGGCGGGAGTCGTCGAATCCAACGAGGCGGACGCACGAAGTCAGGTGCGACCTGGTTCCAGCATCAAAAAGCGACTGGGAAATCCCTTGGTTTCACTGGGAAATCCGTTGGAAAAAACTCGAAATACCCTCTGGTAATGGCTAACATAGCTATGGAAAATCACCATTTATAGTGGATTTTCCCATTAAAAATGGTGATTTTCCATAGTTATGTTAAATTACCAGAGGGTACAGGATTTTCCCAGAGCTATGGTAGTATATTGGAGGGCATTGCGGCATTGCACATGTTTCCATCCTATTTCATGATGATCCCAGCTCGGTTTTCAGCCTTTGGGATGTCCTAGGAATGAGCTTTGCACCTTTGGGATCCTATTGTTTGGATATGAACGTGGCAGATTGTGGCAACAAATGTCCAAATTCTGTACATGAAAATCCATGAAAATCCAATTTATTAACACACACAGAATACATATCCTGTTGCTTGGTAGATAACTTCCATAGTATTTGAATATACCCACTGTAGCAGGAGATGAAATAACCATGTCACGCATTGCAGGTCTATGTGGAGATCATCAAACAGGGCGATCTTCTGTGGGACCCTCTCAGAGATGGGGTTTCCTGCAGTGACAACTAAGCCACCAAAAGAACAGTAGGTGGTTGCTGTCTACTTCTTGGGACATACTGATACTGATTCATGGCAACTATACGACCTGGTTTCATGGCAACTATGATTAATTATCAATGATTGTCATGATTACAAACGACTTCAGTATGAAAATCTTGTGGAAATGTATATGTCAGCATATTTGAAGCAACAATTGAAATAGGATGGGGATACTCTGGGACGCTGTTGCTTTGAGGCTCAACAAGATGCAGAAGCTCTCTGGTGCCATCGATATGTGAACAGCGCCCAGCGGTCACCGGACGGCGCGGGCAAAAAAAAGGATGGGACCCGGGCTGCGACCAAGCGGCAATTGCTGGGATTGATGATTGAAGTTTGGTTTCAAGCTTCACTAAGTTTGAAACGAAACAATCAAGGTGATGTCTCATGAATCATGGTGATTTGTTTTGTTACCGGACACTTGCCAAGATTGCACCAGTTGTATTCAGTTGTAATGACGTTGCACCACTATTCAAGACATGCATCACAAGCCTTTGTGGCACCACAATGATCCTGGGAACTGGGAACATGAATTTGTATCAAGTGAGGCATCGCACAGTCCGGAAAGGAGGCAATATCAAATATATATATATATATACATACATAATTATAATATATATATATATATTATTATTATAGTTATAATTATTGTAATTCTTATCATAAAAAAAGATCAAGGATAATTTTGTCGCAGAAAAAAGGAAATTTGGACTGAACTTGAAACTCGTGCAGCGTTAAATGACAATTGTCTTTGAACAGACATTATATGAACAGACTATTGAAGACATGCGTAACACAACCAGAGAGCACACATGAGCAGCTACTCATTAATGGTCCCTGTGAAAAATCAAGACACTTGGAGACTTGGAGCACACTGTTCCAGAATCTGCCACATTGCAGCCCAATCTGGCTTCACAGATGCAGAATCATGGGGTGCACCTGCAACCTTTTTGGGATGAACTAAACAATCCTGGAACCTTAAACCACTCGCCCATGGGCGCCGGTTCCTCTGCAGCCAAGTACAAAGGCAGAACTGCAAATGGTAGACCGATGGATCCACATTTTTCTTTCTGCTTGTCATTTCCGAGATCTAAACTATACAATCTTGATCAATCTGCGTGAATGATTTTGATGTGATCTCAGGTCACTGGTTCCATCTGGTTCCATACTGTCGTAGATCTATTAGGAGCTTGTTCAGCATTCACCTCTCGGGATCGACATTTGTCCATTCCCCCATTGTTTCTTTGCGAAAGCGGTGAGTTTCAATGGATTAGGAGGATTTTACGTGATCGCATTGCACGCAATCTACTGTAAAGTCGCGATCTGGATGAATTAATAGATATATCCTGTTGTATTCTCCTCTGTCATCATCTGGAAATAGGTATTATCCTAAGGCGATCAAACTTTGACAGACTCAAATTCCACATGGACAAGAAATCACTGGGGTGATCAACCTTTTTCTCGAACACTGACTAACAAACATCGCATAAGCAATATTAATTTAGCAAAAAAAGAACCATATAGTAACTATAGTCAGTACGCTGGCCAGGAAACAAAACTAAAAACGATTATTGGAACGTGACCAACAAAGTTGGATGTAATTTATGTATTACCATACATTACCATAAAATGGCGGAGTTTCCCATAGCAATAAACTATTATTATTATTACCCTCTGGTTATGACTAACATAGCCATGGAAAATCCCGTAAATAAATGGAGGTTTCTAGCTGGGAAATCATCTATTTCTATGGGCCATCTATACCATGGCTATGTTATATCTCCAGAAAGTTGAAGCAAAGAATCCTCCTGTCGATCAACTTGAAGCCAGGTGTAGAGCCTTCAGAGTCCAATGTGGTCACCGTCAAACCAAGGCCAGGTGTTGGAGGCTATAAAAATGGTTGTTGCGGTGGTTACAAACGTTACTTACCCTCCAAATGAACAGAAGGATAAAGAAAAGCTGCATGCTCTAGAGGGAAATTATCTACATTCATGCTGGGGTTTCCATATCCATGTATATATCATTGTATATCTACGTTAAGTTACCAAACAATTACCAATGAATTGTCATTATTGCCATACATAGTATGGTATATCTATGGTGGCTTTTCTATGGACAATACCTGCCAGGTCGGTGGACAAATCACCGGCGAATTCAGATGGCGTCGCTGGGCCGCATCGGCGACTGCTATGGACCATGATGACTATAATAATGGTACCCATTTATTGGTTTACAGGACCCATTTATGATGGTTATAATCAAAATAGATAGTATATCTTAATATCCATGATAGCCATCCAAATGTCCATTCATGTGGTAGACCCGATGATAAACCATCTCCCACAAATCCAAATGGTAGGTTTATTATTGGGAAACTGATGCGTCAGCAGCCTGGCCTGTTCGGAAACCCGAGGTCAAACATGTCAACATTCGCGACTTGACTAGTTTTGTTGGAATTATACTTAAAACAATCATATACAATCATCATTGAGTACGCTAAGCTGTCACTGTGTAAGGCATGATGCTAAGGAGAGAACGCTCTCCGGGCATTGGTAAATTTGGTAGTATTGTTCCTATTGGGATGCTTACTCTTGTTTAACAATGCCAAAATACCAGAGATTTCGGGTTGTATTCCACGTTTGCCACGTTTGAGAAGCATAATGGGACTTCTATGTTCCGCGTTTGAGGCTGGCAGTCCGGCGTCGTCTCCTCCGTTTGAGGCATCTGAGCCATTGGGTGGTTTTTGAGAGTAAAACTGAACAGCCAAGCCCTTTCAGATGGCGTGATGCAGTCATTGTGTTGGTAGCTTTTGTTTCGGAGCATCTATATATGTATGTATAATATATCACAGCAAACGGACAGCCTGCAATAGACATGTTAGCTTCATTCCGTTTGACTCTAAGTTGGAATGAATACAATTGGGGGGCGAGATCGATCAAAAATTTACTGGGAAATCATCACCCATAAGGGGCTGCAGACCCACAGCCCTTGCAGCCGTTGCGCTGTGGCAGGAGCCCAAATCAACCAGTGAAGCTTCGAAGAGATTTATCAGGGAGGTCCTGCTGGGCGGGCCAAAACCCAATTCTCATCTCAAGGGGGGGAACTTGAACATCCATAAAAACATGGGGTCAATAGATGTCAATATATAATATAGGGTTTGATCATGTCTGATCCAGATCGCCTCAGCCAGGACTCAGCCAGAACCTCCATGGCTCCAACTGAATTGCGAATGTTGTTTCACCTGTGCCCCTTCTGAAGGGGCAGATATTAATGTCACCCCAATCAAGGCCATAGGAAATGTCCACTGGATATTGCAGATGTTGTCAGATCTCCGATGAGCTGTTTGGATGGTGAATATAACATAATGATTGTGAACTATTATGATATGGGAAATGTTAGTGATCTCCATAAGTGATCAACATAAGTGATCTCCATTTACCTACCCTCTGGTAATTTGACATTTGAAAAAATCTTGTGAACCCCCATATTTCTTCCACTGATATCATTGGTTCCGAACGTGGTTCCGGCACCTGCTGCGCCAGGTGCCGAAGATCGATACCAACCTTACAGAAGAGACGAAACTTGGCACAGGCCAATGACCGGGAAGGTGATGGCTGGCTCTCGGCTGTGACATCCTGTGGCTATTTTTGGCCGATGTAGCTATGACAATCGATGTGATATATGAGTATATGTGCATATGTAGTGTATGTATGTTTATGTATGCATATATGTACACATGAATAAGAGGAATCGTGTGTGACTTGAATTATGATTACAGATCATTTGGGTACAATATGACAGTCAAATGGTCAAAATATATCGGTGTTCTTGGTGGAATTCAATGTTGAGTGATGCAAACATCTGAAGCAAAGACATGGTGACACCAGATCCCTCTAAGATTTGGCCGCTGGCATAGCCTTTTTTTTCAGGTTGGAGCATGTTTCAGTATGAAGATGGCTGCTGTAATGGGTAGTGGGTGTGATGGACATTGATGGACTATATATACTGTGTATGTCTTGCATGTATACTCTCTATATGTCTGGGTATGGGTCAAAGTGCAAGGATATAAGTAACGGCAAGTGGGTAGACTGACCAGCAATGAGAACATTTAATTTCATTAAACACAAGATTCAATCGTTATAAACTTACAAACGTGAAACGGTGGATACAAATGAGCAGTGAACATGGGTCTAATATTCTGCTCAGGCTCAGAAAAGGTGGGCCTGTCAGGTCAGGGGCCCGAAGAGAGATGCCGCGAAGTCACCACAACCAGTACAATGCCAATGCCATAACAGATAACATAATAACATCCATGGTTGGTATATATATATATTATTATATATACGTATATTTGCTGGGTGTGAGCTATGCTTGTGGATTTTGTACTTCCAGATAAAAAAAAATCGGACTTTCACTGGTTGTGAGCAGCATTTGGTGGCTGACTTCCCTGAAATCTTTCGGCGATCCACTTCAGGTTATCCAATCAGAGTTGAGCCAACAGGCCGTGTTCGCGGGAGTTGGCTTTTTTTTCTATGGAGACGCGATATGTGAGGTGTATAGAATACCTTAAACACACTATGTATACCACAAATTACCACAATATACATGACATATTTGCATTCTACAGTAGAAGATTGTAGATATTAATATGTATTAGATGTGTTTGAACCATGACCAAAGTGAGACTCAAACTCAAACTTGTTGGGTCGAATGCCCAAAGGCTAAGGGTGGCTGTCGGTCTTTACAATCAGCATCACAGATAATCATGTTGGTAATGACATAGATGACAGTACTATGATGATCAGTACTGCGAGGATTTTAATGATGACATCGTTCATCTTGAATTGAAAACGAGAGTCGACATGACACCCACGATGATTGCTCGCCTCGCGTTTCACGGGAAACACTCAAAATTGTCCGACTGAATCCAGATATTTGATCCTCTCCAGGGTGGTTTGTTTGCTGCAGGCACGGCTACCCCTCTTGCAGCCGCTACCCCTCTTGCAGCCACAATTGAGAGAAGAGGCTAAGCCTTGCTTGGAAGACTTGGAAGTGTCAATCAAGTTCAAACATCAGGTAATTTTCCGTTCAGTACTCGTTGATTTGGTACCCTCTGGTATGAAAGATGTGGAAAGCCCATGGTTCCCTAAGTACATGATCTACAAATGGTGGGTTTTCGACATCGAACTGTTAGTTTACTCTAGACTTAGACTCTAGGGTATAGCAACAGCGAGAAAAAACTACTTGATACTTGATGCATGGAAAGTCTTCCAGTCCTCTTACTGGGAAGTGCAGGCTCAAATGCTGGCCCTGAAACCGTTCACTTGAGCGGAGCAGGCAAGGGGAGGTTCACATGCTTGCCTTTTCAACTCCTTGCATCTCTCGCCATCGGGTTTCGGTTTAACTTAGTAGAAAAAAATAAAAAATGTGTGTGTGGCGAACGTTCCCATTTATTCCCAGTGTCATTTCTGAGATGGCAAACAGGATGAAAATGAAGGGTCAAAATCAACGGGTTTGGGGATGTTCCTCTAAGAAAGTCCATACATGATTCTAGTATGTATATTCTATCATATAATATACACATTCATGTGGATGAAGCATCCCAAAGTTTCCAGAGGTACATAATTACCGTTCATTGGTATCAGGTCGTGGATGCCTTTGGTGCCCACATACCATTGAAATCCATTAGATATGAATAGATATGAATGTATAGCTTGTAGATTGATACCATATTTTTGAATAACACACAGCGCCAGAATGGACCCCATCGTAACGGTTGGTTCTCCAAATCCATCTCTGCAGGAACAAGTTCTGCCAGCGTCCGAAAGGCGTCCTTACCGGAATCGACCGGTCAAGGCGCCATGGAATGTCCTATTGCCAGCCCCAGAGCATCCCCAGGCAATCAATCTATATAACCTGACTATGGAAGATAGAAATCATGAAAAATCATGAAAATTCACGTGCTTTATCCACTGATGTAGAATTTTCACATTCGGACATATACAGTAAGATTTTGAATTGCCACTGGCCACTGGCGTGAGGCGAAAAGGGTGGACTCTCTGTCGGCCAAAGCGTGAGGGAACTCAGTTTGTTGGGCTGGAATCATGAAATATGTCAGAAGGTCTATGAAATCTTCGGGGAAAAACAATCTTGAGTTTCTGTTGATGGCATGGTTCAGTCACTAGCCCAAACCCCAAATGTGCGAAATCTGATTGAAGAGAGGGTGAGAGGGTTTATGATGTTTATGTGTGCATGTTTTTTTTGTGGATTTGGAAGGAGTTGTCGTTCTTATCCTGCCAAGACGTGAGCATGGTTCGTGAGGTGGTCCCAAGACCTCAGCACCCAATCATCTCATCATTTTGGGATCAAAATGACTAAAACCCCACAAGACTGCAACATGGCCTGCAATTTTCCAACTGGTAACGCAAATTCCCAAAAGTTGCTGGCGAATATCCTACTCATTCTTGCATGTCTTGCATCGCACTTCCTTCTTCTTAATCGAATCTTGCGCTTGTTGTTGGTGGCACTGGAAGCCTCATTTCTAGTCACCTCGATTTCAATCTTTGTTGGAAAAGTCAATGTTTATCATGTTTTACCAACATATTCCAATCATATTCCTATTTTTACCATTTTTTACCAACATATTCCAAGCATATTCCAATCGTTTCCAATCATTGATATCCACTTTCTGATACTTTCTTCATATGCGGAGTTCCATAGTCATGAGGGCTACCCCAGCTGGATAGCGTGAGGTCTGGGTGACAGGCCTCCGAAGCTCGGTGGAGCTCAATGACTTGGAGGTGCGTTCGTTTTGGAGTAAAAACCCTGGACAAGTTGGGAGATGGAGAAAGCTAAATATGACAGCGGTTGATACAAATAATATAGCTTTATATCTATAAAGCTAAATGATATATATATATTAAATTATATGATGTAAATAATGCCAAATACATCAATATGATATATTAAATAATGCTAAATATGACAGCAGTTTTTTTTTGGATAGGGATTTATATGCTACAGTGTACTATAGTGATCTGGTGCAATCTACAGAATTTTATTGTGCCAAGTCGAGCCAGCACTTGATGCGGAGCTTTCTGCCCATGGCACCATCGCTGATAGGATCAGTTGGACCAATCACAGGAAAGAGACAACTCACTGCATTTGGAAAGAGCCCAAACTATGTTGATGATTTTTGATTGGACACCGGAAAAATGGAAAATCATGTCCAGGTGCCAAAGTCAAGTGAAGATGTTCCGAGCCTTTCTGGAAGGCTGGTATTGTTTCGAACAATAATATGTTGCATGGATACCGGTCAAACTTATGAACCAAAGAAAGTGGATGATACTCAAAGTGCCAAGGAAAATATGTGGGTCCCTCAGATTATGACAGTGTTTTTCCATGTCTCATCATGGAGTATGACCACACAGATTTTAATGTTTGGGGGATTTGTTTATGGATTTACCACTTATCCCACTAAAAGTTGTCAACATTTAGCAGGTAGTCAACAATCCACCAATAACAATCATCACATTTTTGCCATGTTGAAGCGTTCCACCCGGCGTTTTGTGGTGCTCACCCTGCTGGCCCTATGGGGCGCCTCCCATGACCGGCTCAGCTTCACCCCGCTGCTGGTGGTGTTGGATCTGGATGAGACGCTGCTGCACGCCTCGCTATTGAAGGATGACAGCTGGAAGTGGCTGAAGAATCCACGACTCTGGCAGCCGGCTTCGATCGATTTTGAGGCCAAGGGAAAGGGATTGGTCTTAGGTCTGGAGGAGGAAATCCCATTATTTGTATCGCTACGGCCTGGAGCCAAAGAATTTCTGTCATGGCTGAAGAAGCAAAAGGCGATGGAGGCGATGGAGATTGCGGTCTACACGGCAGGAACTCAGCAGTATGCGAGTCAGAGTGTTGAGCTGCTTGGAGCCTTGGCAGCAGAAGAGACTTTTTGAGATTTTGGAAGTAAGATATAATATATAATATATATATATGTATATATATATATATATGTATATATATATATATATAGTATATGAAAGTATATATACATCTAGGATCTAGCATATATTATGTACATGGTATTTTGATAGGATAGCATGTGAATGTATATGATAGTATAACATAGTCTCGTATTTTGTTTTCTGACAGCTGCAAGCATCCCAGTATATAGATTGGTCGGTTATGACATGTTCATAACAGGCCTTCTCTACCTTGGAAGCCTGTTTACAGGAAGATGACCCCGTCAGACATTGGTCAAGTTTTGGGTGCCGCAAATCCAAGGATTGGAGAAGTTTCCTGCATTCTATCGAGACGCATGTGTACCTTTCGGTCTTCCTCTTGCCAAGGACTTGTGCAAGTTGCGACAGGATCTGTCACGAGTTGTCTTGGTGGATAACTCCAAGAAGTCATTCTGGTTGCAGCCAGACAATGGTCTGTTGGTGTCTGATTGGGATGGAACCAATTTCAGTGACCGGGAGCTGACTCGGGTGAAGCAAGACCTGCTTGATCTTCTGGACTTGGAAGATGTACGTCCAGCATTGCGCAGCAAATCTGCGGACGCATCACCAGGGTCACTAGGAGATGACCTCCCGCTGGTGGTCATCCTCGCTATCATAGCTGCTGCCTTTTTGTTATCCAACCTTAGCGCTCCATGAACCAGTGGAGACAAAAGATTGCGCAGTCAGCCTGACATGGGGGTGGAATACCGGTTGTGATCGTGCTTTTTTACAGGTGATAACATGTGATAACCCAACAGCCAAGAAAACTTGTCTTGTTCTAACTTGTTCTGGTTTCCTGCTGACATCATCCCCTTTATGTTAACTAGATCCCTTGGCCCCTTGGACCCTTGGAGGGCCGGATGCCATGTTTGCAGGCTCTTGTCGTCAGATGGGATCCCATTTCATGCCGCTCCTGGGATTGAATTTTGTTGAAGATGTTGCATGGCATTTTGAGCCAAGATGGATTCATACACAGTAAATATTGATAAATATTGAGTTATGCAAGTTCACAGTTGGTAGTTAGCTTTCGATTCAGCATGGTGAATTAGATTGATGGGAGCTTTCCGATCGTTCTGGTCATGCTGGAATTTTTTGAACTTCTGGCAGATGTTTCATGATTTTGAAAGATTTTGAAGGTATATATAGGTATATTATAGGTATATATAGGTACTGTATATAATGGTATATAATGGTATATAATGGTAGGTAAATCATGGCAGATCCATGGCAGAGTCATCCCCAAGGATGGGTGGTTCGCTTCAACACGGGCGTCGAGAAGAGAATACGAGCCGTTGGGAAGCCGACCCGGGGAGATCGTTGGGAAGGGAAGTGATTTATTTCAGATCCCAAAAAAATGGGTTTAGGATGGTTATGGAAATTTCAGGAACAAGTGAACTATAGTGAACTTATCAGAACTTCAACTTTTCTGATTTGCGGCCACGTTTCCATACTTCTCAGCCCAGTTAGAGTCCGAGAGTTGGATGGGTCAAAATCCATGAGGCGAATTTGGTCACCTCAGCACCAGCTACTGCTGCGGATGGCAACAAGGACACCATGGAGACCACAATGGCAGCATCCAGGGAATGGTCGTAACCCCAATGACATGGCATGGAAATGGATCATATATATATATATACATACACACAAAACATATAGATGTCAATATGTCAATACAATTACATCGTGCCGCAATACATAATTACATAATGATAAATTCCAATCTGATCATAGAGGCATAGAGAGGTGACTCACCATTGACTCTGTAGACGTTTGGGTGTGGCATTTCTAGTCTATACATACCCAAGATCAGGGATCCCTGATGGTTAAAAGGACATCCCAGGGGTCCCAGGGAACCGAACGGTTCGAAGTCCTTTTTCATTGCCAAAAATTCCCATGTTTGTTTGTTTCAATGGATGGGTTTAAAGGAAAATCTACAGCAAACCATGTGTGTTTTTTTTACCACTCAATATTGGTATATCAAAAAATCCTGCAGGTTTTCCCGCAAAAACCTGCAACAACCAGTCCAAGCGTAGAAATTCCCCTGGTTCTCCAGTGGTTCCAGATGGTTCCAGTGGTTCAAATCTCCAGAACTCTGGAGCCAACTCCCGTAGGAGTTGGAACAATATATGCTGCAGTCCAACTGGTCTGCTGGGGGCCAAGTCACTGATTGGGATAGCCCAATGACTTGGCTTACTTTAGGTCATGGTTATGTCATTTTGAAACAGTTTGAACATGGAAAATATTATGATTAACATTGAGGAAAACTATATGTATTTTATGTATTAGACATACAGAAAATCAATGCTAATCATATTTTTTTTACTATGTGTTGAAAAAGCATCCATGAAAACGGGCCTCACGCGCGCCATCTTTCGATGATCCCTGGAGGCCATTTATCAGCTCTTCTACGACCGCTTCGGGGTGGAAGGTCTGCCCGTTTATCCATGCGGTCGACTGTGGATCTTTGGGCTATTTTTCTACGATACACTTATTGTCAATATGTGTCTAACATGTCAATAAATGGTACGGCACTTCATCCATAAAATATATGAAGTACCACTTTTTTATCTACGAAAAAACATGAAAAGATGTGTCTAAGAATGTGGTACACCCAGAAAACGATGAGTAATCTGCGGATTTTTCATGCTTTTTCCCTAGATTTTCAGTTACGAAACCCTCGTTCCATATAGTTCCCATGTCACCAGCAAGCTCTCTGCTATTGATCCCTCCGACTCTAGGACTTGCTCGAATCGATCGGGGCTTTGCCGTGAAGGCGCGACCACTCTGGTTTTTGAATAGGACAATTATCTGGAGAAATGAGAAACCATGAAATAGCGTGATGTTTCCTAAAATGTCAGACCAAATTTGTGTTGGTTGGTGGTCTTGAATAATCATGACGTTTCCATCCCGAAACATGAGATGCTAAGCATCAGCCCCTTCAGTTGTTGGTGGATTTAGAAGATTATCTAGATATCACCTTGTTGCCAGTTTTAAGATAAGGATGATGATCCCAGGTGACGTTCACATGTTTCCGTTGGATTCGGTTTTTGTTGAATGTCCCAACATTTTGGCTGATCCAGCCTCATGTTCTAGTTAAAATTCAGCACGTGTTTGGTTGGCATCATCCAATTTGGGCGTCGAAAAGCAACATTTCTTTGCAAAAAAAACTCACATTTTCGCCACTGAAAAGGTGACATCAATACTGTCAATACTCCACATCTAGGGTTCAACCCAACCTCCCAACTATTGATGTGGATTATTGATGTCCACCATTTTGCTTAAAACCCATCCATTTTGGAGTTCAACCCCCCCTCGTCAGGCAGCGGTCGAGATGACGTTGAGCATCGTCAGCAAGTGCTTCGCACTGCTGCGAAGCGATCCGCACGGCCGCTTGTGCCTTGGATGTTGCGACCCCTGGGTTTGATGATTAAACGATATTTAATCATCATTTCTAGAGGGGTTTAACCATGAAAAAATGTATTTCAACATGATTTAACCATATTTAACTATTTAACCATCATTTCTAGAGGTTTCAACCTGTTTTAAGGTGAATTTACCCACTGGTAATCAGACATGGCAATAGACAATTCACCATTTCGTTGAGACATTGAAGCATCCATTTTGGGGTGGAGAAGATTATCACCCAAATGGGTAACTATATGTAATTATCCTAATTTTGGGTCGTTCGCAAAACTGGATGTTTGAGTTGATATATTTGATATATGTCTAGATATATGGAATGTTGGTTTGGCTCAAAATTGGATAGTCTCGTGATAACAACACCTAAACGGGATGATAAAATTCTTGTTGAGATGAACAAAATGCCAGTGTACCTGAATTTCCCGGGGTCTCAAGGTCATCATCATTCTCATATCTCAAAAAAAATGGGAATATGAACTGTCTCCACCAGGCTTCGTAGCTGGATACCAGCTATGGATCCATGTTTGGGAGATGTTCTTGTTGCAGAATACCTAACATGTAGAGAAACCATAGATGGAAATGGGTGTGGTATCTGAATTTTTAGGGGAAAACCGGAAAACCCATTCCATCCACTGAGACAAATCATCAGATAGTCACGACTGGATCCATTTGGGGGATGTAGCCCTTTTCCAAAAATAAGCTTATTGGCTAGATTAATCCACAAGATCCCCAACAGTACAATTCTATACCAGTTATATGCCCCCACATTAGTCTTGCTTGGTTGTTAACTCCCCATATCAATGGATTGGGAAACCATAGGTTTTTACCATGTTTTTACCATGAAATATAGGGGTGTCCTATGGTGTCCTGTAAATTTTCCCAGCAATCCTTTGACCATAGGATGGTCACCCCATCTCCCGTTACGCCGTTGCCCAGGCACTGCACGCCGCTGCACATCGCGGCGCTGCAGAGCAGCACTGAGGCGGCTGAGGTCATCGTCCGGGACTCGCCCAAAGTGGTGGAAAGGACTGGGCAAGTCGCGACCTGGGGAACCACAGATTGGAATGTCTAGCTTGAGTATTAATTGATGGTAGAAAATACATGAAAATACATATTGGGGTATCCAAATTTGACTACCCAGAGTTCTTTGGATATCTTAGGCAGGATATCTGAAAAGGAAGGGATATAACTCTTATAGAAAATATCTTATAGGATGTCTTGGGTCCCCAAAATTCTCATGAGTTGAACATCGAAGGTCAACAGAGGCCACCTGTGTCCTTTACAGATGGCACATCTTCAGATATCCCATGCCTGTTAGGACGCACCGAGAGTCGCCTTCCGCGTTAAGTCCGTTGCACATTGCCATTCTCTGCGGCAGCCACGCCATTGTGGAACTTCTGCTGGATGGAAAAGCCAATCCCAATGCCACTGGACTGAACCCGCTGGGGAGCTACCTCTGGCTGTGAAAGCTGGGTAAGTTTGGTGAACACGGCAACCATCCATGGTGCTCCCAAATAAACTTGTCCAATCTTTTCCATTTAGTACAACATAGTACAACCATATTTATCCATATTTAGTATATCAAACATATTCAAACATCCATGTTTAGTATATCAATGTATATCAACCATAGACCAGCAATATTGATATGGGAACATTGGTTGTACGAAATAGGGAAATATAATGAAACATATATATATACATATATATATAGGCGGGACCATTCACCATCAATATTAGGAAGCCCCTTCTGTGGGAAAAGCGAAAAGCCGGAGGTTTGTACCCTCCACAGCGTCTCTCCCTTGCACCTCGCGGCGACGACCTCCAAGGATGGGGATGTGCTTTGATGATGGTTTGCAGCTGGGTTTCAACTGGAAAACTATGGTTCTTCAAACAGTTGGAAGCTGATGACATTGGAAGTTACCCTCTGGTACATTGACATAGCTATGGAAAATCACCATTTTTAATGGGAAAATCCACTATAAATGGTAATTTTCAATAGCTATGTTAAATTACCAGAGGGTATTCTGCAAATACTTCCAGTGAGACTGGGATGTCACCTGACGCTTCCTGGAAAGATATTTGAGAGGTTGATGAAGTTGCCTTAGCAAATCGGCGCTGATCGTGTTACTGCGTGGGACCCAGAATTGACTTGGGTCTCAACAATCCCATGGTTTATCAATTTCCCCATACAGGGTTTCTCTGATTTTTTGTCTGAAAATTGGTACCCGGAAGAAACTTTTTCGTTTGGGTATACCCAATTTTCAAACACACTCAAAATTCATATTACGTGCATCATATATATATAATGCACATATTTCTTAATGATATTCATATTCCCATTATATTACCATGATATACAAGTTATGTACAAGTTGTATACCTACTGATAATCATGCTAATATCATATTGTAAGATATTCCCAGTTCAATATATATATATATTATATTATATATTATATAATATATATATATATCCTATGACCTATGATATATTCCCATGGTATCCCATAACCAATTGGTTGGTTGCATCCCCCCGTGCCAGGAGCTTTGCCAGTTGCTCCTGGCCTATTCGGCGGAGCCATCCCTGCATGATGTTATGGGAGTCTCGGCGAGGCGGAGACATCATTCCCCAAGATATAGGATGATATATGATACAATGTACCCTATGGTAAATAAACATAGACCCTGAAAAATCACCAATTTTTAGTGGAAACTAGTCTTCCAACCCCTATCTGGCAGGGTCTATGTTAATTTACTGGAGGGTACATATATATATAATTAAATTATACATCATACTATGCCACATATATATATATACACGGATATTGTGTAATGTCTAAATTTTGGTGTGATAAGTTGGAAGGATATAATTTATACCATCTTGCAATCTGACGTTGCCATAGATCATGGCAATGTTTAGTAGGTAAATACATATGATACAAATGATAATGTCCCCAGGGCTGTGTCACATTATCAGAGGGTCTGCAACGCACAGTTCACAGATATGAGTGATGGTGACACTTCACTATGCTTGCATCCGACTTTTCGGAGTAGCTTGTTCTTTTTCATCTTCATCCAACTTCCAAAAATAATGGGACATACTGTGGATGGAAGAAATCATGCACCACCTTGAATGGTGGAAACCCTATAAATAACGGGATAAACCACCTAGGAACTGGTAGCCATTCATGGCAGGAGTCCGCATCTAGAGACCCAACTTGGAGAACCCAGGAGGAACGAAGATCCACCGTCCAAATGTTTGGGGGTCCAACGTTTCAGACATCAATAGGCATCCATTGATCTAAGACCCCATAGCTAAAATTACGGCCAGGCGCTGCGTGTTGCCCGGAAAGTTCACATGGCGTTTAAGCATTATCCTTCAACATGCTCAAACACCTGCGCAGGGCCAGTGTTTTGAGATTTCCCAGACGACGAGCCCTAAACCCTAAATCCTAAACCCAAAAACCCTAAACATAAAACCGTAAAACCTTAAACCCTAAACCTTAAAACCTAAACCCTGAAAACTTTGAATCCTAAACCAGAAAACTCTGTGTATATTCAGTGTTTTCTACCATCTCTCCTATCTTATTCAACAACACGACATCCTCAATGTTAATGTCTGGGCAACACGCGGCGTTTGCAGGTAAAATTACATATTATATATATATACATATACGTATACATACCCTACATAACATTGGGATTGTTGGTAATATGTTGTAAGTTGTTGGTGATATTGGCATTTAAGCGACCCTTCCCGACGCCGTCCCACTTGGTCACCTTAGGAAGCAACACCTTGCATTATGCAGCGACCTTCAAGCAGCATGAAGTCTTGGAGGTTTTGTTGCAAAACCCACAGGTCCGTCCCATAGGGATGGGCCATGGGGAAAATGGAGACATTGGAGACCAATCTGAGACCAATGGCTTCACAAGAATTGATGAAATTGATCATTGTTGGTATAAAAAATGAGCCATTTTGGGGGTAAAGTATGGTAGAACTCAGTAGATAATTCTGAGTCATTTCATGTCATTTCCATTTGACCATGCTAGGCTGATATTTTTCGATATTCATCAATATTCTATTGACCCGTGAACTGGATGGGGATGATTGAGATGTTGTCAGGGAAGGATGCATACGTTCGACATGAGCAGTGGCAGAAAAGGTTGATGCTTGCTGATTGCATACCATCATTGTTCAGCGGGTACTATTGAGATCCTCATGAACCAACTCCTAGAATCAACAATCATTCCGCATTTGAACTTGAACCATGTTGAAACAGATTTAAATTTAAACATATTCAAACATTCTTACCCTCTGGTTATTTAACATAGCCATGGGAAATGGCCCATTTATAGATGGCTTACCTATTAAAAGTGGTGATTTTCCATGGCTATGTTAAATAACCAGATGGTAAACATCTATTGATGTAGCCCAGTGAGACTTAACCCAACCCTTGAAACATTCCGCCATGGCCCACACCAAGGCCTCCCGACTGGCTTTGGAAGGTGATCAAAAGCGCGTCACGGCGTTGCATTTGACATGTGCCCTCTATAGCACCACTGCTGACACTGGGCTGGTGCCATGTTGATGGTGATGGATGGTGATGTTTTTGAATGGTGAAATTAATGGTGTGTTTTATCATCATTTTTTGAACGATGAATTATGGTGATGGTGATAATATGTGATAATCATCATGAAATATGGTGAACTTGTGCTGATCAGCGATGAATTATGATGAACGATGACTGATGGATACTGTCCATGAGGACCAGTGACGGTTTAAGACCAGGAAAAAAGGGAAAAGAAAAACGCAAATGGGCAAGTCAGTTTCAGGATTGAACAGGGTAGCCAATGTTTGACGCATACCTCGATGTGTAGCTCAGGATATGCACGGTCCAATGTTGCTACTGGCATCGGGTGCCAAACCATGGCAAGCGGATGCTACTTGGAGCAACAAAAATAGACTCGACCTCTGCCATGCTGTCACATGCACGAATCTTCTTGTATTCTATTTTATGCTTGATGGTTATGGAAACTTTTAGGAACTGCAACCTGCCGAATTCGCCCGTGGTTGAAGTTGAACAGCTATTGTAGGTGGTACTGTATTTGATACATACTAGCAATAATATACATATATATAATCATATATGTTTAGTATTGTTCAATCACATGTGTATATCATCATCATCATCATCATCATCATCATCATCATCATCATCATCATCATCATCATGATCATCATCATCATCATCAGCAGCAGCATCATCAGCATCAGCATCAGCATCATCATCAGCAGCATCATCAGCATCAGCATCAGCATCAGCATCATCATCATCATCATCAGCAGCAGCAGCAGCATCATCAGCATCATCATCATCATTATCATCATCAGCAGCAGCAGCATCAGCACCATCATCATGATCATCATCAGCAGCAGCAGCATCATCATCATCATCAGCAGCAGCATCAGCATCATCAGCATCATCATCATCATCATCATCAGCAGCAGCAGCAGCATCAGCATCATATATCTATGTAGTGGTTTCAAATAGGTGTTCTCTCAATCGGATGGGCCATCCCTCCGGGGATGCCCCCTCCAGGTCTCTGGAACGGCTGCCAGAGATGTTGTGCCGCTTGGTCGTTGTGGAAAATGTTTGGTTTTAATGGGTGGCAGTTGGGTTTTCCATGGTTTTACCAGTTTTTTTTTGGAACATATTGGAAGATCTATGAATATGTTTGATATGTAGGATGCTCTTACAGATTCAGATGTTTCTTTTGGCATGTGTTGGAATATACCTGCTTAAGTTCCAAGATACCTGCCGCAGATGCCAAGGCCTTTCTCGGTGAATTGCGAACTAACTAAGTTCTTCGAAAGCCACGGCGACAACTCGAAGGTTCGCAAAGGGTTCGCTGGGTCTTCTCACTGTGGTCTGAATTTTTCTGCGTGAAATCCTAGATTTTGTTGGATGTTAATGTTACCCAAAACCTCTCACAATTGAATACTGTAGTTATATGTATAGTTATGCCATAACTGCAATATTTGCTTGGAAAATCTCCGGGTGGAATACACTGCACCACCATGGCCCGTCATTTCAAGGCAGCTGCCCAGGCATGGTTGGAGGAACCGCAAGGGTGGCCATGGCCGAAGTTAGGGGATGTCCAAAAAATGTTGGGACTTCCAAAAAGTCGGATAGTTGCTGGTCTCAGATGTGTTTTTTTTTTAATTATTGTTTTTTTAGTTGTCCTTTTGACAGATCTAAAAGTCGGTTTACATTGACAATATCTCTTGGGGCGGGTTGAAGTCACCAACCATTTTTACCGTAAAAGGGATCTACTTTTAACAGCGAATTCTTGGAAAAATGCCATGTCAGTTCGTGTTCCACAACACAGCTGCGTGGTGTGTGTGTGTGTTTGGGTTATCAGAGGTTCGACAGGATGTCAATAGCCGCAAATGGGATGGCAGATGTCGGTGAAGGTCCCTCTTCAGCCACTCCAAGTGTGTCGCAGTATATTTGTTGCTGGACAAGTAGCAGGTAGCATGAACTTACAAGCGTAGTGTCTTTGGATTTGAAGGTCTTGTCGGATTTTGGAAGATTTAGGAACCAAGACTTTCAGTACTTTTCAGTTGCCAAAAGCTACCCTCTGGTAAACTAACATAGCTATGGAAAATCACCATTTTTAATGGGAAAACTCACTATAAATTGCCATTTTCAATAGCTATGTTAAATTACCAGAGGGTATATGATGCCCATGATATCCCGGCTGAGCCAACTCAGCGCAGGAGTTGCTACTGAATACTGCGTCTGATGGCTCCGAAGCAACTGAAGATGTCGAGGAGGAGGAGGACCGACAAAAACCCACCCGGTGTGGTACCGTGTCGTTTTTAGGGGCCCAAATGTAGTGGGATTCAATGGGGATACAACATGATAATACATTGATAATATGATATAACCATCCGTAATGGAGATATATTGAGGATTTACCTTAGAGCCCAGAATTGGACAGAATTCGATGATGGGAAAGTATACGATTGAACCCCCTCTCAGTTTGGTAAAATCCAGCAATGGTTTTCCCTTGAACCAATCCATAGATGGTACATGGCGAATAACCTTGGTACCCAGTGACATAGCCATTGACCAGAATCTACCATGATGGGGGTAAAACCATGCCGACCATGCCCCTAAAAGTATTCAAAGGGTTTTGAGATTGTTGCATGCTCATCATATCCGCTTTGTTGGATTTTGTTGGGGCGTGTCACCAATCATGGGGTTGACTAAACATAACCCCACTATATCCCATGATTACTCTTTATCCCCAGAATATCCCCATCATTTTTGGCTCTACCACATTTATATCATCATTTTCTTCATCAGAATAGGCCAGAAATCGCCATATGTTGCCATAAAATGGTGCAAAGGAGAAACCATGTGGTGCCCGCTTACCAGGACAGCATTGCTGTTGAAGCAGTCCCTAGCCCTAGCGCTTCGCGGCTAGATGGGGCTGTCACAGAAAGGGGTGCGCCTGCCTGGGACATGAGATGCAATGGGAGGATCGCTGGCCTTAAGTGGTTCGTAAATCATTGGGTATGGTGATAGCCCAGGTCTCGAACATATTGTGCCGTTTGCCAAATGTAGAGATCGTCCCTATGGTTGGTTCCAGGGTTCAATATGCCATCGTCCATCACCTTTTTGATGGTCTTCAGATGGTTAAAAAAATGATGGAAAACCACATGTTTGACAGGTAAGATCATGTGAACAAAAATACTGGCACACGCTTCCCAGAGGGTAGCGCAAAAAACTAAGACTTAACTAAGATCCCTCGTAGCCTCAATCGCCAGGTGCAGAGATTCACATGCTCCGAGAAGAGGTCGAAAGGCAGCTTACGGCTTTGTCCAGTGAAAACCAATGGGATGTATGTTCAGGAAAATATTTTCTTAGGGAAGAGGCATGTTAAACTGTTAAACAATAACTTGAAATTTCATGACAGTTTGAATGTGAATTTGCATTGAAATGAAGAGGAAATGACCAAATGACCTCAAAAGGAGTAGCTTGGTTTCAGACACACCGGTAGCGGTTTGGAGTATCATTGGTTGATCCTTCCTCCAATTTAGGCTTCCTTATCACAGCCATAGCCGTGACCACTGTTGAAGCAAGGGGCATACAAAAGCGCTGGATTTCCAGGCTCAAGACTTCACTCGAAGACCGCGAGCAGAGGCCTGGGGCTTGATCTTCTCCATTTGAGCTATGGTCAATACTCATGGTTAATAACCATTAATAGGGGCTAGTCATCCAATGGTTCATAGGGATTGATAATAACCATTATAAGGATCCTTATTATGGATGGGATGACCATCAACCATATAGTGAGTATTGACCATGGCTCATTTGTCGATTGATGTTTGAATTCTTTCCGCAATTGCTTTGATTCATGGTCTCAAACTGTTTCAAGTACTGTGTCCTTTGTTTGGCATCCTGGTTTGAGATGAATATCAAATATGATCAAATCACCAAAGTCACCAGTCTCTATGGGATGGTGTCCAACATGCTGTCCTGTTTCTCGGTGCAATAGATCTCCATTTACATCCCAATATAGTATAATATAGTGCTAAGAGTTCATGGCTCATGATGGCTCAGCCACCAAGCACTTCTCCTTGTTGGAAGCACCAGGGAACAGCAAAAACTCATCAACTCTTGTCCACTGCCAGCGTCGCTTCAAGGTGTGAAGAGTTGGAACCGCTGAGAATGAAATTGCAGCACAGCCAAGAGAAGGCTAGGACGGCTAGGAAAACAGGGGGCAAATACTTCACAGTTGTTGGATGTTGGCTTGGTATTGTTGGCTTGAGGAGTGGAGGAGAACAACTGGCCAAGATTGTCAACAATTCCTTCCCATCCAACAATTTCCATCAATGTCCGATCATTCGAGGACTTTTTTTTTATTCTGGGCACAAATATCCCATGATTACCCTCTGGTAAACTAACATAGCTATGGAAAATCACCATTATTAATGGGAAAATCCACTTTCTGTGGCCATTTTCAATAGCTATGTCAGCCATTACCAGAGGGTATCCCACTATTACTGGTTACAAATATCTGCCGACCTTCCCATCCTTCCCATTGCAGGTGGAAATGTTGGAGCAAGCCGCAAAGTCGGGGGCTCCAGTCCTGGTAGATCTGGTCGTCTTAGCGCGGGTCGAAGACTCAAGATGTTAACGATTTATTGCAGAGTCATGGTTAACCCACATAAGCAAGAAATGAATGATTCACATATACATATTTTACTATATATACGATTATATACGTACATATTATATCATATTATATTAAATACGTATAATATATATGTATACAGGTATACATTATATATACATATATATATACATATATACATATATATATATATACACATATATATATATACATATCTATATACACATACATATCTATATACATATCTATATACATATCTATATACATATCTATATACATACATACATACATACATACATACATACATACATACATACATACATACATACATATCTATATACACATACATACATACATACATATATATATATACACATACATACATATATATATATATGACCCATCTAAACACACTTGGCTTATCAATTTCAGAAAATTGCATAGATAATGTGCTAGACACTGGTCAAACGACAATGACATGGGGAGTTGACATCTCAAAAACAAAGATTGCCAGTTGATAGTTTCACTTCTGATTGTGCCGTGGGATCACGGGCTGAGGTAGATGAGATTCTTTCTAAACCGCTGGCATGAGCAAAAACCTAGACATTCTGAAGATTCAAGGCTTTTATTCTTGAGCCACTTTTATTCAATATGGATCAATATGGTATATGATAACTACAGTTCCCAAGCTGCCACAAGCCGTCAGCCCTCATAGTCCTTCTCTTAAGAGTTCCAAGGAATCAGCAGCAAATCTTCCAAGTTCAAATGGATTTGATGGACCAGAGCAGAAGTCAACATCAGGCAGGGGATAATTGTTCTTCGTCGAAATTCACAGAATCTTGAAGCACTTTCTGGGCTGCTGGAAAAAAGCTGCCAACAAAAACTGTTGCTTCGATTGAGTCAAAGATCCAAGAAGGGAGCAAATCATTCTGAGCCATACTTTGATTTGGATCATTTTTTGCGCATCACAAAGTGGAGATTGGTCGGCAATCATTGGTTGAGGCACAGCTGCAGGAGATGGGGGGAAGGATTTCGAAGATCTGCATCTGTGCAGTCCTACTTTTTCGGCCAAAATCTGGAGAGATGGTTGACATGCCAAGTTTTGATTGCCTGCGCTTACAACATGATTTCCTCCAGATGTTTGAGATCATAGAATTATAGCAATGAGTTGTTTCTTTTAAAAAAGATACACATGCGGCTGTATATGAACACCCCTACAAACACCTCAGGATCTTCGCATTTCTCCGGATCTTCGCGAGGAGTTGAAGGAACGACATGCAGCAGATCGACAACAGTGGGAAGATCGCAGCCATGCAGAAATTGAGGCGCCAACTGTGCCAACTGTTCCGACGGAGCATCAGTTGCCTTGTTGGATATTGCTGCTACTGATAGTCCGGTGGTCTTTAGAATACTTTATAATACTCTACTGACTCTACTGGATTCAGCTACATTTGCTATCCAAGTATGTAGGTAAATCTCGATGATGTGTTGCCGATTTGACCCGTGTTCATTCATGGATCAGATACTGTAGCTGTAGCACATGGGAAGATAGTTTGTCATGTTGTTTGTCATGATACATCCATTCAATTCCATTCAAACATATTATTTGATTGAATTATTCTCCCCATGTTCCCTCTGGTAATTTGACATGGGTACGGAAAATAGACAAAAATGACCCATTTAGTGATGAATTACTGTACCTAGTTGATTGCAATTTTCCAAGGCACACTCTGAACTTACGAGAGGGTTTAACTGAATGTTAAATTACCAGAGGGTTGATATTTTACATGATAATCTACATGATATAACCATATACACCCCCCAGCCACAAATTTATGGAATCCAGGAATGTGCCACTGTGCCACGATTTTTGGGGTCCAACAGTAATGTCCTAATGTTCTATCTTTTGGTGTGTCGAGAAAAGTCCGACAGTTTTCCGTCCGTTTTTCCGTCCAAAATTTTGCAGGTTCGATTGCGAGAGTCACAGCAGGAGGAGCCCGGACTGACTTTCGCGGGGCCATGTTGGGTCATGGTGATGTAACCCGCGGTTTATATGGGGGTTTTATAACGGTTTTATATGGTTTTATGGAATATGAATGTGGATTAAAGGAATAATATAGATGATGGTTACCCTGGAATCAAACATAGCGGGAACCCGGGAACCCTCCCCCAAAAAAATGCATTTCAGTGGGAAAATATGAGAATGGGGGATGTTGATGTATGGTTACATGTTTGGTTATTTTATGTCATTAAACAAAATGATATAGTTTGGGATTGTTTGGGATTTATGTAGATGTCCAGAGATATATTGTCCTGATGTTTGTGTCATTTTTCACCAATGTGGTGATTGCCCGGCCCAACACTGGAAAACCCATGACTGAATTGACAACGGGTCCGACGTTTCGGATGGCTGAGTTGACTGGTATCTAACCCACGGCCTGCTGTGGAAATGACACGTGGCGACGTGGATAATGTATATACCCTCTGGTTATTTAATATAGCCATGGAAAATTGCCCATAGAAATAGATGGTTTACCTACTAAACATGGTGATTTTCCATGCCTATGTTAAATAACCAGATGGTGTATATATATATACATATTTGAGTCTTATGAAAACACAGACATGCAACAGACATGGATACAGTGACAGTGGCTGCTCCAAATCTGCAACATCAAAGTTTTTGCTGTGAGATATGGCTGTGGTTCAAAAGTCTGGATGTTCAATTCCCCCTTAAATTTCTGGTATTGAAATTATTGGTATTCCCCCATGCTTATGATATACCATATGGTATTGAAATGATTGAAGCTGTTGACCCCTATTGCGTACAGCAATCAAAGGTGGCTGGAAAGGATTTCCCGGCCAGCCACGTTTGATAGCAGGGGGATTCCTGCTGCCCAGTGGACCCTGCAGGCCAGTGCCAAGTTGCAGCAAGCAGAGCTTCAAATCGCAGAGCTGCAGGTAGGGATGCTCAGGGGATGAAAGTGGCAGCCATCTATCCGACGATGCCGGTAACCACAACATGTTCTATCATGCACTATGCACAAAAAAAACAAATCATGAGGGTCTTTTTTATTATTGCAATCAGATGTCATGTTTTAATCACAAGAATTCGTTGCAAGTGAATATGAGATGTATAATGTATATATTAAACATTAATGGGCAACTCATCAGACAGATCGACTTTACATAGCAATGTTCTATTGTCGGATTCCAGGACTAGAGATCTTAAATTTGTAGCTCCGAAGTGATGGCCATGCAGTTGCTTGTGGGGCTAAGCGGACAAAGACCACCCGACATCACCCGACCCCTGAAGTTGCAGGCTGCATTGCTATCATTTTCTGTGTGAACACGGTACAGTAAGTCGCTCTTCTTAATGCGATTCTTGTGAGACGATTTTGTGATATTGCTGCATTGCTGGGTGTTGTGTGATGTGTTGTTTGTGATTTGATGTTTGCTTTTTGTGTTGTTTTCTAGAGAACGTCCTTGCCCAACTAGTGCTTCAACAAGCATGATTTTAATTGTCATGGATAATTCACCAAACATCATCACGCAATTTTTTGGGACGCCTTGTTGGGCAACGTGGGGCTTGTTGAGTTTGTCATTGCACTTAATCTTGTACATGCTCTGTTGGTCCATTGTTGAACTCTATTTCTATTTCTCTCTTTTACTGCATGGAACACATTGTAGCTGTTGGGATGTGCCAACCCTTCACTTTGCAGAATATTTGATCCACCGGTATCAAGTCTACTCAGTCTACTCCGTAGCAGTAAGCGGCTGTGATTCCCAACATTACAACACATGATGCTTGGCTACCGTGGCAGTAACTGCGACCTACCTTCATCGAATCTGACACCAAACATTTCTGCTCCAAATATGGCGACTTGTCTGAAACTAGGGCCACTTGCCAGTCCATCCACTGGTGAATTACCCCTTCCCATATGAATACGGGCCTGAGTTAGGCTGGATACCAGGGGGATGCCCATGGCCGAGGCGGAGTTGCTCCAAGCCGAGCGGCGGCTGCAAGCGGAACAGGAAGCATCGCAGGAGATCCAACGACAGCTGAATCGTACCAAATCACAGGAGCGGTGCCGGACCATGCCTTGACCATGGAAGATCTTTGGATTTCAGGGTGTCCACTTTCCATATCACCCAACCATTGGGGATATACCCTCTGGTAATGGCTAAGATAGCTATTGAACATGGCCCATTTATAGTGGATTTACCCATTGAAAATGGTGATTTTCCATAGTTATGTCAATGTACCAGAGGGTAATCTCCGATGCTTGAAGCTGATGTGAAACAAATCCCATACAAATCCCCAAAAAGGGACATTTGCAAAGCCCTGTTCATGGTGATTGTCGGATAGGGAAGCATCGGCGATGCATCGGCTGATCCATTATCTGGTGGTTGTGCGTGATGATTTAACTTGAATTAATAGGGTTTTAACCACCAAAAAAAATGGGAATACAGCTGATCAATGATGTTTGATGTTTGTTTTCTTTTGGGTTATATCATATCATGCACGGATTCTGGGGATTATCATAATAAATGAACTGGGAAATACTATTAACCAACCAGCTGGATGTCGATGTTTTTGGTGGATGTTGATGGATGTGAAGTTGTTTGGCCACTGCTTGAAGAGAACATTTTGGCAGTTGCATGGAAGAATTCTTGTGGCTTCTCAAGTTAGGTCAATGCTTGACTGCCTGGTGGTTTCAAAATGCGTGCAATGATTGTCCGTTCCTATTAGCTGGCGTCATTCCATCAACTGCACGCCATACTTTTCAATATGTTGAACTCGGGATTCAAACCCACTGTATAGTTAGTTTCACGTGACATTCATGTGACATGCGTATGACATTTCTGGCTCAGCTTATCGGTTCAATGGTTTTATCCTAGACATTCGCAACGGATGCCACCGCAGTCGTACATCGCGGCCGACACTCCGGTGAATGATGTGCGCGTCTTCGTGGATGGACTTCATGGCCAGACGCGGCAAGCTGCACTGGAAGCAGCACAGAGACTGAGAAACTTGGTAACTGAAGCTATGATTTATGATTGGTAAGATTGGTAATTAACATTTAAATAGGATCATTTGAATATCTTCTCCCTAATTACCACCTAGAAACATCTGGAAACATGTCGAAACCATGATTTTGTGTTGGATCTGTTCATTGGGGTGATTAACGATTCTAGGTGTTAGGGGATCATTAAGAATGGAGGAATCTTAATAACTGTATTGGCTGGTGATTATTATTGGCAATTGTGATTCGGAACTGGGGTTGTCTTAATCCTGCAGGGAATATGACACTAGCTTAACAGCACCATTTTAAAAGATGTTGAATAGGCATCTTATCGCCATGAAATGGCCCGGGGGGCCGAAGGCGCCCCTTCTCTTGGCAGACCCTTATGGGCCGGCTGCAAAGTGATTATAGAGATGGTTCTTCTAGCCAATCTGAGCTGTTTGGCACCAGGAAGCGCTACAACTCTGGGACGTTTGAATGCAGAGTTGATTGAAGTCTCTGAACGCCTGCCGGGAGCAGCGGTGGATGTTGGTCCGGGAGCGAACAAAGGTTCGGTGTCCGTGACCTTTCGACCTGAACATGGATGTCATTTGGTGGCCAATGCCGGGAACGAAGGTGGGCATCAAGTTTTTTTGGACCAAAGACATTTCAGTCAATGACTTGGAAAGATGTATGTTTTGTTACTATAAAACAGTGATTTGTGGACACTGGCTTTTAAATAGAAATGTGGGTCCTATATGGTTTGATTGATGTTGTACCATCTTCTAATCTTTCCTTATCATGTGGTACACAAGTTAATGTCCATATCCCATAGCATCCTATGGATTTCTTCACACACTTCATTTTCAGGCCTTCCAGGCCTGAATTCCGCCTTCAGCCTGAGAGTGGATGGCACCCCAGCGGCGGAAGGGGAGGGACCTCCGCCCTTGCGGGTCAGTGCTGAGGGTCGCTGCTGCCTGGAAGAAGAAGCCATGCGATGCTCGCTGACAGCTTCCCCGACCAAACACAGCTGGCCGGTGATGCCGTCACTTCAACTGGGAGTGGGGATGGCAGGCTTGATGACGCATCCCTTGAGGACTGAAAGCTCAGGCAGGGCTGACCATATTGAAAATCGGTTCGCTACACAGTTGGTCCCTTGAACTCTCATTTTGCTTTGTGCTGTGGCTTCATTTTGAGTTCAATCGGCCCCTATTCGCAACCATGTCAGGCCATTTGATTTTCACGGATGTTTTGGGGCGACATACCCTGAAGTTGAGCGCTGCCTCGCGGGATCTTCGACCAAAGGAGGGCTCAGCCTTCCTGAAACTGCCGCTGCAGTCCTCTAAGACATCGGTTTCGTATCTGGTTGGTGGAGAATTTCAGCCTCAAAAATGGATGATATTCACCTCAAAACATAGAATAACATAGTAGAGTATAGTGCCGCTTGAACTGTTTTGATCGTTTTCCAATATATGTTGTGTTTTTCGCTTTTTCGCATTCCCCCCGACCAAATATGGGATGATGTTTTTTTCTTGACTTTTTCACAGCCTGTATGGCTTCATCCAGGTATCATTTTCTGAAAGATTCCTCAGCCAGCAGCCAGCCGCAGCGCCTGGCCGCCTGTTTGGAGCTGGCTGGGCTGCTGGGCGACGTCACCCTGGGGCGTTTCGAGGCTTGCTGGATGCGACAGGGACCACTGCTGGGAGGACGATGGCAGCTGCGCGGTGAGTTGGGGGTGGCCAAAGCATTGGGAGGGAGCACCCTGCCCTTGGAGGACTGGGTGAAAAGCTGCTGGATACGGATCTTCATGATCTTTATGGTACTTTAATATACTTGAATACTTTACAGTAAATCATGTTGAGTCTTTGGCCATAAATGGGGATGTTTATACGCACCTTTTTGATGTGTTTTTGCACATTGACCATGACTGGATGATGCCAGATTAGACCACCAGAGGCTATGTTTTTCATGGGCTGTTGACAAGTTGGACCTGATGATTAATAGGCCGATGGGGTATGATATGGATTCAACCAGTGCTATTTGTTGATCAACTCAGTTGACATGTCCAAACCACCAACCAGTTACCCTCTGGTAATTTAACATAGCTATTGAAAATGGCTATTTATAGTGAGTTTTCCCATTAAAAATGGTGATTTTCCATAGTTATGTTAGTTTACCAGAGGGTATTTTTGTTTTTCCCCATTTTGACGCGTTTAGGCGTGAAATGGGTGAAATGGAAGGTTCAACCACACTCACCCGGGGCTTTGAGTCTGTCCATGGGGATGGGCTGGTCCAAATTGGAGCAATTTTGAAAGAGTGGAAGATATGATTTTCGAAAGCCACAAAGATCATAGGGATAATGATAGGGATAATGATTTTGGATCACTAAAATCACTAAAAATAGAATGGGGGCATCTAATGACCTTCAAAAAATAGGGATCATGATTTTCTATGATTTTCTGATCACTCCAGTCTCAGCATGCACCAAGCAAGGACAAAAATCAGTATGCGTAAAGGTTGACAAAAATCTGATCATGTCCCAAACCATCAAAAAGTGGGAAAATGATGATTCCAAATGTCCAAATCGATAGCCTCTAGCAATCAATCATGTCGTGCTGGAAATTCTCCATTGATAATCATTTGAATCATTTAGTTCCATGGTTTTCCATATGGTTTTCCCATGTTTCAACCTCCATGTTGCGGAGATTTCGCACCATATCCCACCAGTTCGGCCAAAAATCATGGCCATTGAATCGAATCGAACTCCATGGGCCATGGCTTTGCAAAATGATCAAACATTGCTGGTTGGTGGTTAATATCTGGTTCATAGTGATGGTTTTTATAGTGGTTAATATGAGGGTATAAACCAACAACAATGGGAATATGATGGTTATATAAGTTATATATCTGGTTGGTGGTGACTGGAACATGGCTGGATTATATGACTTTCCCATCATATTGGGAAGGTCATAATCCCAACTGACGAATTATAAATTATATAATATTTTTCAGAGGGGTGGGGTCGAAGCCACCAACCAGATTAACATTCCATAAAAATCATGGTTGTTTCATCGTTAAATCTATGTTTGATGCCACTATGCTGAAATCCCCCCAGCCCCAGGAGCGTTTCTTCTTGGGCGGCGCCTCAGGTGGTCTCCAGCGCTTTCTGGGCTTTGCGGCGCATGGATTGGGGCCGGCCAGCTTTGAGCAGCGAGAGTCTAAGGCTGGAAAATGGGAAAATCAACAAAAAAAATTGGAGATTTTCCAGCACCATGGGAGCTATGGTCAATACTCATGGTTAATAACCATTAATAGGGGCTAGTCATCCAATGGTTCATAGGGATTTATAATAACCATTATAAGGATCCTTATTATGGATGGGATGACCATCAACCATATAGTGAATATTGACCATGGCTCATGGTTCATTACCAGAGGATATGCAATTTTCAGGTTCGTGTGTCAGATTCGGGGTGTATTTTTTTGTGATGGTTAGGAGATCCACACAGAATTCCGGCCATGGAATTGTGGTGAATCCATGTCAATCCCCTGTTAGATTGGCGTTTTTTTCCTCACCAACTGACAAGTCTAAAGCTATGCCTCGCAATTTTGGTACCCTCTGGTAAACTAACATAACTATGGAAAATCACCATGTTTCATGGGAAAATTCACTATAAATGGTGATTTTCAATCGCTATGTTAGCCATTACCAGAGGGTAATTAATGGTTCCTATCAACCTTTGCTGATCCACCGTTCCTTGGTGGTCGGGCATCCAAGGTCTGAACTTCCTTAATGATGCACCTTGAGCTCAGCAGTACTGACAAGTGGCAAGACACCTATCACTGCCCAGATCATGTATGGCAATGATGCTGTACTTATATACTTACTGAATCTTACTAGTATTTACCTACATTTTTCCTTGTATATAGAAGCCTAAGTATATAATTATAATTAATTAATTATATATATATATATATACAATGGTGTGTACATATAGATACCGTCCATGGATGATCTGGGTTGCCGGTGCCAGGCCCGCTTTGGCTTGGTGAAAGGCCTTGGAGGTCTGAATGCCATCAGGACTGGGGGAGTGGGATCCCATGGGTCCAGCTGTTCTGAGTTGATCTGAGTTGATCTGCACCTTTCAGGAGACACGTTTTCTTGAAAAATAAAGGTGAAAATCCTTCCAGTTGCCACGGATTGCCACAGATTCCCGTATTCCTCCATGAACTCCTGATTCTCCAAGCACCAGGAGTGGCTCAGTGATGGAAAGAACAGGTCCTGGAAGCTTCTTGGGTGGAGACACTCGAGCCTCGGTCGAGGCGGTGCTAAGTTTCCCTTTGGGACCAATGCAGTTGATGAGCTTTGGAACACTTGGGCTGTTGGTCAATCGATCGTGCCTTGGCCGTTTGATTTCCAAGGTTCAAGAGGTGTTGGGGAGTTATTAAGGAACATTGAGCATGTTTATAAGGGCAGATGGGAGGAATTCTGGTTTTTTCGCCACTTGTTGGAAAGGATTTGGAATCAGTGACAACCAAAACTAAAGCTATGGAAGGGTTTGTCATCCAACAGTGCTCAGCGCTTGTTGGTTATTTGCCATATCCTTAAGTCTATGGCATGGGGTATCGAAAAACATGCCGCATCACTTGCACACTATGTCTCTCTTGATCTTGATCCGCCAACAGGAGCAAACCTTTTGGCAAACTCGATCACCTCTCCCGGGGCCCAAGTATCATATCATGACCATTCACGATCATTGAAATGAAATCCTGATAGTTGGAACATGTTGGAACCCAAACTATGTGCAAGTCATACCCAGCCAACAGGTTTTTACAAGCGTTCCACGAACACAGATCATTCACGGCTAGTTACAACCGGCAATATTGGCAAACCGAGGCATAAATCATGTCATCCCAGCTGGATAACTGGGCTGGATAACTTGGACGCCACGATTTTTTCAGGTGTTTGAAGAGCATGGACGACCTCTCACAGAACTTTCGCGCCAGCTTGGGCGCTGGTGTGGGCTATCCTTTGCCAGGAGGCAGGTGTTGGAAGATGGGTCCTCTTTAGCAGAAGTACAAGATACGGTGAAATATCTACAGAAAATGATTTGTTTAAGGATCTTTGGAGTGGGTATCTGGTGGTTTCAAGAAGTGTATGAAAAATTTTAGAAATATTCCATCGCAAAGAATGATTTCAATTCACTTTGGGATAGTTCAACAGACCACATGCCCCTCGAAGAATCGGGGATGCGACAAGCAGGGCGCCAAATTGTGATAGTTCGCATCCAATAGATGACTGGCTGGTGGATATCATGGGGATAGAATGGGAATATCACCAATGATTTCCGGGAAGGTGGGTGGGTTCAAACATGTTCGCTGCAACCCTGACGTTGCTCCGCGTCTGACTTCAGGTGGCTATGAAGATAAAGTTGATGTTATTACGCCAACCAACATATTGCTCATAGGGGGTGGCGAATTTGATCCCTCACGGAGATATAGCTGATGCTATTACCCCAATCAACATATTGCTCATAGGGGGTGGCGAAATTTGATCCCGCATGGAGATATAGTTGGGGTTATTACCCCAATCATCCCCAATCAACATATTGTTCAGAGCGGGTGGCGAATTTGGACCCTTCATGAAGATAAAGTTGATGATTCTGATGATGGTGATGATGATGATGATGATCATGGCGATTGTAAGTGTGGAGCAACGTCCAGGTTGGGGCGAACATGTTTTTTATGTTCAACCATATGACTAGATATGACTGGGATGATCATCCCCTATGACTCTCCTATAAAAAAACAGATGATCTGCCACTGGAATCGCCACTGGGCGTCCCTCGAAGGCGGTCACCTAGCTGCAACCTTCTCTTTGCCAATCCAAGCAGTTGAAGGCGATGCGCTGCGACCATTCCAAGTCTCCGTGAGCTTCGGAAATCAGCTGTAGCTGCGGTCGGGATCCAACTGTCGAGCGAAGAAAAAAGACGGGAGGCTCATTGTTGGACAACGGGATTGACAGATCATTAGACGACCAAAGAATCCACTGGATAATGATCATAATATATGGATATATGGTCAATGATCCACCCAACCATCCACTACTGATAAGGTAAGAGACGATTCGGATCAAGAATTACCCAATCTTTTGCGGAGCTTGTGGCATCTGGTGCCATCTGGTGGCCCTCTTGTGGCCCTCTTGTGGCTCAAGTCTAAGCGTTTAACCGTGATCACCAGCTCGAGAGCCATGGTCCAGGTGTGTCTGACCAGTGGAGAGGAGGTGCTGCGACAGGAGGGCGTCGCTACCCTGCGGGAGCTCCACCTGCAGCTGGGTGCGACAGGGCCGGCCAGCAGCGTTCCGACCTTCCTGCGAGAGGATGGCCATGTGTTGCTCACCATGATTTCACCAATTTGTTTCACCACCAAGACGTTCGATGAACATAGATGAACCATCATTAACCAATAACCAGGTTAAATTAATCATCATGAACCGAGAAAACCATCATTGGCCATCGGTTTCACCATCTAAAGATACGAAGAAAGTCGTCTAGAATGGGGATATGAAGATATCGTGGGGAAATGGGGATATCACCAATGATTAGCTCCTCGGTGGTTTCAAAGATGTTGTTATATTCAACACGAGAAATGGGATGATACGGACGACCCCATGATATGGACGACCCCATGTGACCCCATTTTTCCGGAGGATGGCGGTTTCAACATGTTTCAACCACCAGGTTGGAAGCAGATGACGTGGCGGTTGAGGACGAAGTACTGACCTTGGTTTGGGTGGAATGGTGGCACAGTTTCAACATCCGCAAGCAAAGTCCAAGTCGTTTCCAAAGGTTTTTCCCCCGAGACGAGCATTTCAATGTGGGCCTTCTGGAGATGGCACTGTTGGCCGAACTGAAAGGAGGGGACAATGGAAACATGGTCATTGATTATTCACGAGCTTTGCAAGCAGATATCGAGCTTGCCATTCTCAATGTCTTGCATCACTTTCGACCCGAGTCACCTTTTCTGAGAGCAGTGAGGGACTTCACGGCCTTCATCGTGGCCTATTTGCCTTCGGAACTGAGCAGCGTCCTTGGCGTCTTGCTGGATGCAGCGATTGAAGACATTGAGCACCTCACTGAGCTCCGGAGATTTGGATTTGGGGATCACTTCACAGCCACCTTGGCCTTGGTCGAGGAGACCGTGAAGCATTTGTTGAGCAGCTTGGAATCATTGGAATCCGATGCATCGATCGATCGCGATGAGACCGAAGATAGGGAGGTGATCCCGATTGTTTTCAAGTCAGATCCGCCCAAAACCATCCATGTGCAAAGAGCTTGGAGAGAGGAGGCATATGTGTATTTCCAGAAGTTGCAGCCGAAGTTGCTGCATTTCCTTCAACTCAGAGATCAATTGGCTTTGGCTGGAAAGGCTCATGAAATTGATGGCTGGCTGAATTTGCACCGCCCCTTTTCGCATGCGACCAACCACTACCAAAGAGATCATCGCTTCAGTGGCCTCTGGGCTCTTTGAAGGCCGAACCTGGCCGTGTCCGATGCCTTGGCCGAGCTGGAGAAAGAGTGCGCAAAACTCGGCTGGCTGAGGTGGGCTGTTCATGTGAGAAATTCCCTCTGACGCTCGTTGCCCGGTTTTCAGATCCTTTTTCAGCTTGTGAGATCTTAGCGTTTCTTCTCTCCGTGAAAGTGAAGGATTCTTCAAGGATGGCAGAACAACAGACACAGAGACGATATGATACAAAGCGTCCATGATTTTGTTAGGGTTTGCCTGAGCTGTTCCTCCTTTCCGTTTTGCAGATCCCTGTATCGCTGTGCTTCCAGTGTCCACGTTGGGATGTGTTGGGTTTGGATCGAACTTCAAGATCCTCATCCCGGTGCATTCATCTGTTATATCATGTTTAAGCTGTCTACCAAAGAACGCATACGAATCAAGGGTCGCAATTTTGATCCTTTCGAATTTGATTGTCCTAAAAAAAGGGGGTTTTACCTGACATGTTGATCCAAAAAGATGAGAGGAATTGCCTTCAGAGCCTGCGGATTCAGAAGTGGATGCTTCTGCACTGCAGGCGGGTCATGGCCCCTTTTCAAAGGGCGGGAAAATCACTGGTAAAATACCCACCCTTGATTTCCCAATGGTAATAGGTATTTACCATAATATTACCCATAAAATATCATGATGGTATTTCCTAATGGTGGGTAAAATATATCACTGGTATTTAACCATCAAAATATCCATGGTTTCCCCAATGCTGTGATTGTTCAATTGACGGCAATGCATGGCCCTTCTGGGGTATCATTTAGAGCATACTCCGATCTAACAGTCCAACGGCATCATATAGATCATATATATATATGGAGTATATAGATAATACATATAAATCCAAGAGTAAAAAAAACTGTTAGAGCTTCTATCATCTTATACTATAGATTACTATAGTATATGTATACAAGTGTATACATATCCACCCGCTGCACGTAATTGAGACAGGTCTTCAGCTTATGGAATCCGCCGCAATTGGAATCATTCCGAATGATCATCCTGAATCTGAATGAAACTCGAGTTGGGTGTGTGTGTCCCCCAAATGGGGATAATATCATATACATTCATATACTGTATATGAGAAACTGGTATATATAGATTATCTATCCTCATTAATCCTGATTTTATATGATTTTTATTGCAATTCTCATGGTAAACATGATGGGAAAAAACATAAGATGCAGGGGTTCGGTCTGCTTTGTCAGGAGTTGCAAGAACGCGTGGACCACTTGGAGGACGTTTGTCAGCAGGCGCCCTGTTTGATAAACGTTGGTCATCATTTGAGCCATTAAAGATGCCCTGGTTGATTGGTTATTGTAGGGAGTTGTACTACCTGGGTTTTTGATGGTTTTTGGAGATTATTGAACAACGCAGGGTAGGGAAACCGATTAAGCAACTAGTATCATGAGATGGCATAGTAATTTTAGTGGCTCATGTTCCCCATAATGACGGGAACCGTTGAATGAAATGCTGATGATCCCTTCAAATCCACCAGTTGTTGGAGCCATACCACTGGAGCAGCAGTTGACAGGAAAGGACTGCCTCGGAGGAAGCGTCCAAGAACCTCCAGGACGCCGAAGCTGGTCTTGGGGCACCTGGAAGGATATAAAGAAAAATCATAGCAACTCCCAAAAAGATAAGAAACAAGTTGGAAAACTGACAAAAAATGGGAAAGCACCATAGAACGACTTGTCAAAGTTTCTGGCGGTTACGAATACCCCACTTCGATCCAGTGTGGATGCTGGAGTTTCAAAAAAAAATCGATGATGTGGATGCAGACGGGAATGCAAACCACGCGAAAAATGACGAGCAGAGATATAATATGATATAATGCATCATCTTTGGCATCCGAAGTTGCAGGATATTTTAGGGATCAGAACGGAACCACCATTCAACCTGCGAAGGACCACTGGAATCGGAGTCTTATTTCTGGTCCGAACTTCAAAATTTGGTAATTTCCGAGTGGGTATGGCATTCATGGGTCAAAATGTTCAAGACCTATGTGACCGCAGATTTTAAGGTTATCAATAATAGTAGATTATAGTAAACTATTATCCACTTTGAGGGTACCTAGTCTCGACCCAAACCCAAGTGTTTAATATAATATCTATATATAATTAATAGAATACAATGATGTTGAGATATGTAAGATTCTTAAGATGTTGAAAGATGTTTTTCAAGTCCCCCAAAGAGGAAACTTCCACGTTTTGGTGTACTTCCTGATGCTACACCAAGCCGAGCCACTTTGTTGCATGGCTTTTTCCATGTCCCAGATCCCATGGGTCCCAAAGAGGGCGTGCAACATGTTGATCTTTATACCCGAAGGGCCCATGAAACCGCTTAATAACATATTTCAACAGTTAAGAAATACTCAAACTGCTAAAAGCAGTTATGCAGCTTCACGGAACTGGATTATCGATTAAAAAAAAACATGTCGTTGTGAGTCATGATTCTAAGCCTTCATGAACAGACCTATTGAACAGATTCCTGGGTTGTGGACAACATGTTTTTCTGCATCATGGATGCGGAAAACCCCACCATTTGTAGATCACTTTCCATCTGTTTCCACATCTATGGCTGTAAAATGGCTCTTGGATCCAATAGCACCATTCTTCCATTGACATTTTTCCATTGACTGATAGTGATTGAATTGTGATTGATATGTAATGCATATACTCATATATTCCGATATTCCCACTATTTGTAGATCATTTGAAATGCAGCAGTTTTAACCAAAGATCTCATACTACCAAATACTACCTATCATGATGTGAAAATCCCATGATATTTACCATACATTACAGATATACCCATACATTTAGATATGGTTTACCAATCATCAAACACCACTTTCTTCAGGAGCTCTTGAGCGCCACCCGACGGCTTTGCGCCAAATATGCCATTGCTTGGAGCACAGAGGCGGGATGGGAGAGGTGGAGAGGTGGACGGGATCCGACTTGAAATGGGGCACCCTTTTTTTTTAGGGGGAGATATGGGTGTAATGGTGATTTAATGAGATTTTAACGGGATTTAATGGAGTTTCAATGTGATTTAAAAGGCTTCAATGGGATTTAATGTGATTGAATGGGATTATATAGCTAACCAGCTTGATCTGATACGAATCCCATCCTCCCCCAATATTCAACACCCCCCATTCGATGGTCTCATATATGTGGACATCCCCTACTGAAAGATGGTTTCTTGGGGTTGTTTACTTTTAATCTTTTAGGGGATTCGATTTTGCATGTGACCCCAAAAATGGTGACAACATATAGGAATAACATGGGGTTATATGTAATCAGAAAGATTGTTTTTGGATGATTTGCGTGTGACGTCACTTTTGGAATTTTATAGCTATTGAATTGGCTGGGAACATGATGGATATTGGTTTGATATTGGGATATGAATGAGATTTATAGATTGAATGTACAATCGACTGTATTTTGTTCAATGGTACGCCCCCAAATCACCCCAAAATGATCATTTAAAATGGAGAGACCAATGGTTTTGGGGTACCCGAATTTGGTGATAACACAAACAGGACCGAGCCTTAAAATCGTGGATTGAACGCTGTGGTCAGAATAAAAAATATTATCCGAAAAGTGGATAGCTCTGAATGTCCCAAAAAGGTTCAACAAGTGGAAAACAACATGATAAATGAACATGTTTTCAGTGAAACCATATGAAAACAATTGATAAATGCATATAAATGCCTTGAGTTTTTCAGTGCAGATCATTCTGAGAGCCAGGAACCAAGCCTCAACATGCTTGAGGGAATTGTGAGGGGCTCAGAGAGATCACGGGGTCTTGTGAATTTAGATATTAAATAGACAGAGGAGAGTCATATTATAAATATGTATATACATAGACTAATTTGTCATGTATGTATATATTACACATATATATGTATTATATATAAACACACACACACTAACCAATGAATATATATCTATATTACATACTAGACATATTTAACTCTGGATAGATGACTGTGCCATTGGGGTAATCAATGGTCGAATGGCTCAGCGTACATTTTTCAGTGATCACCAATTCCTCCAGGAGGAGTCTTTGAGCCGGGCGCAGAACGTGGCAGATGAGAAAGAGAAAGAGCGGAAGGTGCCGCACACGGCACAAAAGGATTCATCGCAGAAATTTCACATGGGGTGGCCATACGGGTGTGTCTCAGAAACGCAGGGGATGCAATCCACAATTGCAATCGTAGATATTCCAGTCGCATGATGGTCCAAATTTTAAGACAAGAGGCTGCCAGTTTCAAGAGCGGTTACCTCTAGGCGGGATAGGCATGAAAAATGATCTCGATTGACCAATGTGAGGTCATGTGATGTCCCAAAACAGGAAACCGGAAAGACCGTGTTTCTTGGGGATCGGATGAGTAGAGTATTTGCTCAGGCTGAATTTGGAGGCTGCCTAGTTTGTGCACATGACACGCCAAGCGTGCCAAATGTGAAGGCCTGCAACCCCAAAACATCCTGGATAATTCCATGCTGTCCCTACATTTTCCTACCTCGGCTGTCTCTTCTATCTTAAGTGCCACTGTAATTACACTGAACTGCGCAGACTTCATGATCAAGAGGATCACCGGAAGTGGAGTATTTTCTTGATCCTCTGTGGTCCTCTCTGGAGCCTGTACATATAGATCTTTGAAAACTCCTTTCCCAAGGAGACAATTGGAGTTGAAAAGTAAGAAGTGTCGTTCCAAGTCTACCGTGGATCATTGATTCATAGCAGGTAACAACCTTTTTTCACAAGACCTTGTTGACTGTGATGAACCAAAAAATTACAATAAAGTATACCGTATTCTGTATATATGATAGTATTTGATTACAAGTATATGCACATATTATATGATATTTATGAGTGTTTTAATGTTATACTACATGTATGGTATTTGTGATAATACTATCTATATGTAATTTAGATATATATATATATATATCACATATATATATATATCACATACATATATATATATCATATATATATATTGTATACATATATATATATATTGTATACATATATATATTGTAAACATATATATATATTGTAAACATATATATATATATTGTAAACATATATATATATATATCACATATATATATATATCCACATTATATATGTATATACACCATATATATGTGTGTATATATATATGCAGAGTATGCATTGATTGTCTCTCCTAGTTGTTCTTATTCCAGGTTCTCCTGCAGCAGATGACACAGCTGAAAGAAGAGGTGGCAGCGACATCGACATCCTGGGCATCCTGGACATCAAACCAGAACATTGGGGAAATATCATACTATAGTAATACTACGAACCCTAAACCCTAAAACCCTAAACCATCCTAAACCCTAAACCCTAAAACCTAGGCTCTGAAAACGTTGAATCCTAAACTGGACAACACTGCGTTTATGCACTATTTTCTGTAATCTCCCATATCATATTCGACAGCACGACATTCTCAATGTTAATGTCTGGGCAACACACGGCGTCTGTGGGTAATACTATAGTATATATATACATACATATCATCACATATGACAATATATATATATGTTATATATATATGATATCTATATATTTAGTTCAATTAGATTGCAACAGATTGAACTAGTTAAGATGAAGATGTCGGTTCTTGAAGGGTTTCTCCAAGAGACGATCATCATGCCTTCACTGGTGGCGCAGGTGGACTTTCTCCGTGGTGCTAAGTTTGAGGCGGACGACAGGCGGCTGATGTTTCGTGGCTTGGGAGGAGATCATGAGGGTTGCTCCAACCATCTCCAACCGTAGGTAAATCCTTATCATAAGAAAGCCAGCAATTTTGGTGGATGATTTACCTCCAATGTTGTTTCACTGGGAAAAGCCGGTGTCCTGCAGATTTTCCTTGAAACCAACATTGGAATGATTACCAACTGAGATGGGGAATCAATTCAGAATTGGAAGGTAAGTGCCCCAAGTGATCACAGATTTTACATCCATGAATGGTGAAGCTCAGGACATGGGGATCGCATGGGTTTTTGTTCACCATTTTCTCTGTTCAAATGGCCAAATGCTGGGGTTTAAATCCTCCATGTTCCGACATTTCTTCACCATGTTGTGGAGGTGCCAACAGCTACAAGTGGAGCTCCAGCAGGCGGCCTCTTGTAGGTTGGCTGTATCGCGCACCGATCGAAAGCCGAATTGGTCGGAGGTCTACTTTGACCCCCAGAAGTTATCATATTTCAGCACCCTTGCTGTCGTGCCAGATGCTACTGGTATCTACTGGTATTTTTTTCGAACATCACTCAGCTGAAGTGGAGCAACTGATACTGAGAATGCAGCAGCATTCGACAGGCCAAGAACAGCGTCAGTGCTCAAGCTCTGCAACTGGAGACGCTTGGAGATGAAGTGGGTGGTTGTTTCAATCAATTGGTCTCACAGCATATTGGAGAAATAGAAGGTATAACAAAAATGATCAGACTGGGTCTGGGTGCATGGTGGGTTCTGGAGGGCCTGTTTGCATAATTATCATAATTATGGATTTTTCAACAAGTTCTAGCTTTTACCCTTTCCGGGTTTCTCGAGACGATATTCACCCCCAATTTCCAACTGCTGATCAGCGTTTTCCCCTTCCAACGTGCACATGTTGTTCAATATTTATTGGGGTAATATATTGGACATATACTGGACATATATTGGACATACATTGGAAATATTGGGATAATATTGCGATAATACTGCGTTGGGAGTCCCCCATTAAGAGACAATCCCATATTCACCGAGCTGTTGCTGTTCAACTGATTCCCCATGAGGTCGCAGTTCAGGGACAGCCAGATGCAGCACCAGCAGGCAGTGGACCAGGCACCTACAGGAATGATGCCAGTCGATGGGCATGCTGGAAAGGTTCAAATTGAAATAAACAGGGTTTCTGTAGTTTGTCATACTTGTCTCTCTATCTATTATATATATATATTACCATCCATCCATCCATCCATCCATCCATCCATCCATCCACAGTCACATACCGCTCGCACAAACATCGCTGCCCCCCAAAGCCTCAGCGAGGCGAAAGGAGAAGCCGACGCATGCCAGCGGCGAGCGAAATTGGCAGAGGTGGAGCTGTTGTGGGGTTCGAACAGGTGGAAGTGAACCCTCCAAAGCAACACCCTTAAATTGAGGGGTATAGTGTTGATGATGATAGGTATAAGTGATGATTGAGAAGGGTTACGACTATAATGATGCTAGGTAGAATTGATGGTAAATTATAATAGGTTCTGTTTGTGTTGATACGATGTAAATTGATGATAACGGAATGTAGTGGGTTTTTGATGTGATTATGATGGGATATCATGGGCTAGAATGATGAGATCTATGACCAACAGTAAGAAGATGTCTGTAGGTGTCAGATTTGGGTATACGCATAAAATGCTAGCTTGAATGGGGAAAATGCTGATCAGCCATCAAATTTCGGGATGCTGCAGACAAGCCCTTGCGGGCAGGGGTGGCTGTAATCTCTAGTGTTTATCCCTACTTGGAGTGGTGATGAACTGTGGGATTTTGGGCTGCCCTGACATGAAATCCCGCTGGACCTCCGGATAATGTCCTGATCTGTCGCCATGACAATAAATCATGGGTCCCTTCAATTTAAGATCGTGTGATTGATGATTAAGAATCATACCATAGTTTCATAATGTGTCATATCAATTTATGAATCTATGGTATATCATTTATCTCCAGTAAAACATAGTTTCAAATGTTTCAACAAAAATATCCCATCATCAGACCTGTTTCTTTGGAACGAATCATTGCAACCCTGATGTGTTCCCGAAACATCTCCAGGGGCAGCTGCAGACGGCTCAAGCTACAGTCTGGGGGCACGGCAGGGGACGGCTGCGATCATCCAACCCCGGGGTTAGAGCTGAAATTAGGCATTGAAGCAACACAAAATTGGAAATACCCTCTGGTAAACTAACATAGCTATTGAAAATGGCTATTTATAGTGGATTTTCCCATTAAAAATGGTGATTTTCCATAGCTATGTTAAATTACCAGAGGGTAATATGCTTGAACCAAGAAAAACTTGGATTTCACTGATTACACTAAATGAATTTAGTATTCGATGCGACATGAAAAGGTACTTAATCAACAAAGGCTGAGCTTGGCATGCAAGAACGCAGATGTAACCAACCAAGCATGAGGGTATGAGCGGTATGGATTAGACTGTGTTTGACTTGTTGAAGCCAGGGCCAGTAATCGTTGGTGCCCCATGCCCATTACCCAGACTCCTAAGCCCTTGTCGCCCGTGTCTGTATAAATGAATGTTGTGTTTCCAAATTGGCCTATATGATTGGGCCTGGAAATATGGATCATTGGGATCATTTTGATCGCAAAGGGTAGACTCGTAAATTGGGCACCAAACCAATTGATAAAGCTTGATGACTGACTGGTTCATGGGAATTAGTGGCAGATTCAAAGCAACTGATTGCACCGGAGTTTGTCTTGCAAAGCTACATTAAAGTCAGGGGATCTCATCCAGACCGCAGGCAGATCACTTCTCGGCCAAGTACCATGAACTCGAGGCAAGAAGTTCTGAGTGCAACTTGAAAACGCCCCTCGATATTTGGTCTTTGAATGCAACCACGCAGGAAAATGCATGTTGCTTTCAATAAGGATACGGTGTCATGGAGAGTCCATGAATTTCCACTTTATTTCGCCAATAGTATCATATTAATCCGTATTAGCCATATGATTGATGTCAACCATGTGTCAACCATGCATCAACCATATATCAACCATCTATTAACCACATATCAACATATATTATATATATATATCAACCATATTCACCATACATTACCATGGTGATTTACCATGTCGAATCCTACAGTGGCATCCCACGCCAGGCACGCTTCCAAGAGGAGCAGATCATCCGCAAGAAATATCACAACCAGATCCAGGTGGCCAACGGGGTGGAAAACCCATGGTGAAACCCTAGGGAAATGATCTACGAATGGTGTTAGCTCCGCTGGGAGAATCATGGCAATATATTTCACCAACTATGGGAAGAGTTTATAGTTTTTATGGATTTTAGGGGGATATGTTATATTACTATATTACTATGGGATATCATCTATAGTAATGTTAATCATTACAAAAATTCCCAAGACTTGGGTGATTTCGCCAAGAATAATGACCATAATGACTCATGATTCATCTGATGTAACAATGTTTTGAGGATATTCTGATGTGATTGGGCACACAATGGTGATATCTTGAGGACCTTGGGGACGGGGATGTAATGGGAAAATACTGACCCAAAGCGGATCTTCATTAAATCTGAACAAACATCACGAAACACTGCGATGTTGGTAGATCTTTGGAGCTATATAACTGAAAGAACAATCGGTCTCCGTCAAAGGCCTGCCTGACTGGTCAACTGATAACTATCTAATTACAGTGTTTCTACATGTTTTTGCGGTCGAAAGTCAGGATCACAAAGAAATCTGCCCACGCAAAACCAGCCAGCCGCTAGCCTCTGGTAAACTATTTCTACGGCCATGTTCAATAGCTATGTTAAATTTCCAGATGGATTTTTCCATATTTTTCCCATCTCCCCATTGTTGGTGAAATCCCTATGAATCACCATGAAATCCCATGAATTCCCATTAAAAATTCTCTGTTGAATTACCAGCCGCTAGCCATGGCCGGATTTTCGACCAGGACATGAAAGGCAGCGTCCGTGTCTTCTGCCGCTTCCGTCCACTGGCCAAGCGAGAAGAAGATCTTGGTGATATTCCTGTCCTGCACAAGGCGGAAAGTGAGCTGGGGCAGCTGCCCTCCAATCAACTCACAATATATGTACCAGTAGTACCGCACGAGGCGGTGACGGAAGTTTCAAAAATAGGAAACCTATAGGAGAGGTTGGTTGTTGTGAATCACGGATGGCAGGGCGAATCCACTGATGGACGGAAAGGTGGTTGAGGTATCCTCTCTTTCTCTCTCTTTCTCTCTCTTTTTCTGACTATCTACCTATAGCCTACCTACCTATCTATCTATGTATCTATCTATCTATCGATCGATCTATCTATCTCTCTCTCTCTCTCTTCTAATTACCTATCTATCTAGCAATCTATCTATCCATCCATCCATCTATCTCTCTCTCTCCCTCTCTCTGTCTGTCTGTCGTCTGTCTATCTGCAAGCTTGAAAACGAAGCTATTCTGCAAGACTTCCGCAGCTTTTGAACTTGACAACATCAAAAGCGCAGCAATTCAGCGAGACTTCCTCAGTTTTTGCATTTGACAACATAAAAAACGAAGCAATTCTGCGAGACTTCCTCATTTTTCGAAGTTAAAGACATCAAAAACGAAAGAATTCTGCGAGACTTCCTTCAAAAATGGAAAGCTGAGTGCAGAGCTGACAACATCGTACCAATGCGTTTTGCCATTTTTCCACTCCACCTCTGTAGAGTACTGCGCCTGCCACGAAAAATTGATGCCAGGTCATACGAAATCATCTCAGCAAACCTGAAGATCTGATACTCCAAGATGCAACCCCTCTCAGGAAATCAGCGCCCTGACCTCCGAACATCTCTGATGAACATGTCTTTTGTACTGCACCTGCCACGCGAAATGCATCTTTGAAGATCCTCTTCAAATGCCCCACGGCTGCCATCGTTTTTGGAAATGCTACAGAACCCTCACGTTTTGCCAACTTTTGACCAGGTCCACAATCCCTTGCGCCGGCCACACGAAACGACATCAGAACGTCCAAAAGTGGCTCGAACATGTGGTGTTTTGTACATTTTGACTTCGAAACGTGCTTCGCGCCACAACGGCATACACTTTTTCGACATCGCAACTTCCAAAAGTGGTCCGGAGCTGGTGTGGAAATGTGCTTCGCGCCCCAACGGCGTGCACGTTTTAGACATCTGACTTCGAAATGTGCTTCGCGCCACAACGGCGTGCACTTGTTCCACATCTCAGCTTCCAAAAGTGGTCCGAACGTGAGGTGTTTTGTACATTTTGACTTCGAAATGTGCTTCGTGCCACAACGGCGTGCACTTGCTCCACATCTCAGCTTCCAAAAGTGGTCCGAACGTGAGGTGTTTTGTACATTTTGACTTCGAAATGTGCTTCGTGCCACAACGGCGTGCACTTGTTCCACATCTCAGCTTCCAAAAGTGGTCCGGAGCTGGTGCGTTTTGTACATTTTGACTTCGAAATGTGCTTCGTGCCACAACGGCGTGCACGTTTTAGACATCTCAACTCCCAAAAGTGGTCCGAGCATGGTGTGTTTTGTACATTTTGACTTCGAAATGTGCTTCGCGCCACAACGGTGTGCACTTTTTCATCTCTAATCTGGCCAGCTGGCTCACCCCAGGCACAGGGTCCAACGAGCCAGTTGGCCTTGCCTGTTCCACTTGACCCCCTCTGCCTCCGCCCAAAGCGCCACCAGCCTGCAGGGACAATGGGAGAAGGCGACAGGAACGCAAGGGAGGGACATTTGAGCGGCCTTTCCGCACGCAGCTGGGTTATGTAGGCCTTCCTGACAGGGCGGGAACAGAGACCAGCAGCCACCTCCCGCAGCAACTTCCCAGCAACCTCCCCGCACCCGCCGCTTTGGGGAGCCTACTTTTCGACCTTCCGGAGCCACAAATCATTGGAAAAAACACAGTGTTTCGCGACTTTCTTACCTTTTCGCGCACCTGGATCTTCTTTCTTCTGAGGCTTTCTCTTTTTTGATTTTCTTTCTTCTTCTCTTCTCTTCTCTGACTCTTCCCTCTGCTCTTCATCTGTCCATACTGTCGGAAGTTTGACTTCTAAACTTCCTTCGGTTACATATAATATATGCATTATCATTATATATATATATGTGTGTGTGTGTGATTATATGTTTATATATACTTATCCTTTGGCATTGGTCTATCCAAGATGAGGAAGGTCCCAGTTTCAATAGAATTCTATTCCAGCGCCGACTTGTTTCCTGATGGGGGCATCTCAGAATCTGGAGTGGATGAGCCATGAGAGGTGGGGATTTACACAGCAGAAATATGGCTATGGCTACCCGAACTGACATACAAATGGACACACCAATTGTGTTCTTGTGTTATAGAGTCAAATACCATTCAATGTTGAAACTACAATGTGGTAAGCCCAATTGCAAACCACCCCCAATTTTACCAAAAATATGTTGGTATAAGGTGGTGGGAACCATCCCCAAGGGTTCCTGCATAGATGCCAGGCTGATGCCTTCAGTGTGGACCTTCACCGATTGGCGCCGCACAACGACACAAGACGATTTGACTTCGATGCAGCCTGAAACCCGGCGGACGGGGATGAATGGTTTCCTGTAGATTTGTCGTTTAACAAATCCAAAGAGTTGAGGTTGGATCATATGTGGATTGTTTCAGCATGTTTCAGCCCTATTGCATGGTTTTTGAGAGCGATTGTCCAAGGATTCTGTATAACCCGTGTAAATTCAGGGTTTGGCATAGATACCGGCTGATATGGGTCATCCTTTTACTCTGACCTTCACCAAGATTGCAAGGTTTAATCCCTTCAACCCATAATTATCCATATCAACCTGCGAAGCTACCCAAAATAAGCATGTGTACATCCCGAGAGAATCTCAGGAGCAGCAGGAGACCTGTGGGTCCTTGGCACCCCAAATTGTGTCGCAATAGCCACACATTTGGTTGCTCAAAACCCATTTTGGTTGGTTGAACCCACATTTCTGCTGGCTGAACCCTCATTGAAGCCCCAGTGTTGATGATTGAATCCCATTTTTGCTGGGTAAACTCAAGGTATTTGCGGGTCCAAACAGATTCTCTTACCTTTTGGATCGCCCCAATGTCCAAGTGCTTGAGGTCTTTGGTGGTGACAGTCCCCAGGAGGAAGTCTTTGGTGATTGATGGGAGCTTAGTCTTCAGGGCCGTTGAGCCATCCATCCACCCGGGTGTTTCTCGAATTTGGGAAAGCACAAACCATGCGATTCCCGCTAGAACTGGCGAATTTTAAGTAGCTTTTCAGGCCCCCAATTTTGGAGAAGCCCCCAACTGATCTTCAAAGATGGAGTTGTTTAGCAAAAGTTCAGACTCTTAAAATCATGGACTCATGGACGACAAAAATCCACACGTTGTAGATTATTGGCAGATACCAGTAGCTGGCGAGTATTTGTTACCATGACTTTTTACTGAGGAGGCTTTCCAAAACAATCAGCGACTGATCATCAATGAATCAAGGTTGTGTGAATCTCCAAGATGTTCCCAAACGGGTATGGATCAAAAAGCTCAAATTTGCCAAACTTTTGGGCCCATTGGAAGCCCAATGACTCTACTCAAACCCATGGCGAGGTGAAGATTTGGTGCGCAGCGTGATTGACGGTTACAATGCGGGCATGCTAAGAAGGGGCCCTGCGGGTGGTATTGGCACAGCACTAAACTGGTAAAGTGGAAGTGAATATCAAACTGTCCCACATTACATATAGTATCATATAGTCATAGTCTTTATATAGTATAAATATAGCATCCCCCCATGAAGAAACTATCTGAAATGCGTTTTCAATCAACTTAATAAAACCTGGTGCAGCAACTGTGGGGAGAAAATTGGTATGTCCAAGGTGACTATCTTCGCATATGGCCAGACAGGAGCTGGAAAGTCACTCAGCGCTGGATGTGGTGGTCTCCTAAGATGGGTTACTGCAAAATAATCCATATTCGATGATCTTTAATGGGGAACCAGTGTGGATAATGTGGATAAGGGGGTACCCCAATCATAGAAAATCCTCACGTGGTGGTGCGGTTTGAGTTTGAGTCAAGTAGCTCTCAATAAAATGGGTAAGGGTAAGGGTAAAGGGTCATTGAACTCTTGTAGACAGATAAACCCTCCAAAAAAAGGAAAGGACAGTATTCCGGATTAGGAGCAAATGTAGGGGGATATTCATCTACCTTCGTATTGGACCTGCCTATAGGGGAAATGGCAAACATTGGGATTTCACATCAAGCAGCGAAAATATTTGGGTTGTATAATATATATAATATAGAATATATTATAATATAATATAATATAATATGATATCACATAATATGATATGATATAATATAATATAATATAATATGATATAATATAATATATTATATATCTATCAAGTACATATGATGTTAATTAAATGTCAACTTCCAACATCTCAGAATTTCTTGTAAGTAAAGATTACATCAACCATCATGTGGAAATCCTTATTGTTTCATCCATGGATGACCTTGTTGAGCAGACGTCCCTTTGGGGCTCCAATCTAAGGACCCATACGATGTATGGCACCAGCGATCACCCCGGACTGGCTCCACGCCCGGATCCACAGATATCCACAGCATCTTCATGGAGTCGGAGTTGCCCCACGGGGGAATCCAACATTCCCGGTATGTCATAGAATCAAGAGTTGTGTTTTCTGGATGAGGTTGTTACAGATGATCTTTTCCGGTAATCATGTCCAGGTTTCCAAGTGTTCTGGATCTTTTTGGGGGGGTGCCAAATTGCCAAATGCATTCCAAATGCGTGATTTGATGTCATGTGATGAGCCAGGTGCCATTGACTCCCTCTTTCATTTGATCCATCGAGAAGAAAAACAAGGTGCCACCGATGTGTCCTGGAGATGGCTCGGATTCGCCCCGTACCGAAGTGCAGATTGGTTTGCCAATGTCCGACTGGCAAAACATGGCAGGATTTGTGGCTTCAATGCCGCGACATTAGAACTCACTTTTGTCACGGAAGACCTTTGGAGTTGACTAGTCATGTTGCGATGGTGAAACCCCTTCAGATGCGGTTGCAGCCAGGACGGAAGACGTTTACGGTGAAAGCATACATGATCGAGTTGCTTGGCCATCTATTGATGCGGCAGTAAAAATGCAATGCATGGACGGGAACCAGAGAAACAACCAGTGATAGAATGGGTGGTCTGCTCACGTCTATATTCTTACTGGTGCTTAGTAGGAAATGGGGGAACGATCAAAAATTACTATTAACCATTCCCCCATTTGTAAGTCCCAATAGTAATAATAATTCCCCCATTGGTAAGTCCCATTACTATTACTATTGACTAATGGGAGCCTCATCCAATTCCCCCATTCCCGACGTTTAGCACTAGCAAGTCTTAGATGTGCTGAGGCTGTACAAGCAAGACATCTTGGTCTCGTCCCCAGTGGTCACCTTTGTGATCCCTTGTGATACCCATGGCTGGCAGTTTCGGATGTGCATCCCCAGATGGTCCCGTATATGTATACACATACAATCACATGCGTGTGTGTGTGTATATATATATATATACGTATATACACACATACTGTGTATACTATATATATACATACTGTATGCATATATATATATATACACTGTATGTATACTGTATATGTATAACAATCTGTATATATTTACAGTGTACGCCTTGCTGTCAGGATCTGCTAGCGGAGCGGAGAGATCAGAATCCTAAAGACCAGAAGCAGTTGCAGGTCAAGAAGGCGATGGATTTTCCAACGGTACAATTGTTGACAATTGGAGTTGCTGATGATGCTGAGGTTGCATATGTATATACATAGATAATGATAGATAGGAATAGATAGGATAAGAGAAGAGAAGAGGAGATAAGATAGAGAGACATCCACATATGTGTATATATATATATATCACACATCACATAATTGCATACAGTGTATCTAGTTGTATACCTGCTTCTCCAGCATCCATTTGAAGATGCATCGACCAGGCTATGTAGACCTTTGCTATCAAGATGGGGGTCACGTCTAAAACCTGAAAGCTCAGATGAACATCCCAGTCCCATTCTGAACTGCTTAATGGTTTCTGTTGATGATTGAGGCTGCATCGGCCAATGCCAATGGCCAATGCCATTGGCCCGGTTAGCTTGGTTTAATATTATTCCATATATAATATTATAATAATATATATATATATATAAATATACATATTATACATATATATATATATTATTACTTTTGGTGTGTAACACGTATTATTTGATGCCTCTCTTTGGTGCTTAAACCTATGGCCTGATAAAAATAGGTCCCTTACGCGCCAGGATGCTGGTCGTGGCATCATGTTCGTGGAGGTGCGGCCATCCAGTGTCCATTCTCTATGGTTTGCTAGGGAAATTCACTGAGGGTTTAATAAAATAGACTATTAATACAAGGTGGTGCCCCATAGTTAGCTAAGTTGGTTTATAAGTCCAATAACTAGTTGGTTGATTACGGGGTTATATGAATCTATAGTTAATGGGGATTATAAACCAACTTATAACTGGGGGGCAACAAACTATTACCCTCTGGTAAATAAACAGTTGGACCCTGAAAATCAGCAATTTTTAATGGAAACTAGTCTTCCAACCCCTATCTGCCAGGGTCTATGTTAATTTACCAGATGGTAATAGGCTTTAAAATAACTATTAATTGTAATAATAATGGATCTTATACTGGGTATACTGACTAAAATTCCATTATAAACTATTAATAATTGATAGGGAAATTTATAATAAGGGAAGTTCACTACTATTGATAATAGTAATTATAATGGTAACAATAGTTCAATAGTAATAATGATGATAATAATGATAACAATATATATATACATTAGGATTTTGGAGACACATCCAACCCGTTGCATCAAGATTTGCAAAATTCGGCCCTTCCCGTACTTGCCAATTTGCCGAAGACATTTAAGGTGAATGTCTCTCACTGAACCTATTCATAGTGCCTGTTCCCGGAACCACACAGAGATTCTGCATCAATTGACCCACCCATCACCCATGGGGCCATGGGGCCACACCGGCACAGGGTGTCTGTGAGCGCCATGTCCATAGCCCTGACCAACTCAAGGTGCCTTGGTCCTACGGGGGGATGTCCAGATGGACGAGGCTACCCCTTTATCGCTGGATGGTTTATTTCATGGAAAATCCAAAAATGAAATGGCTGATTTTTTTCGGGCTACCCCCATGACTTAGGAAACCTCCGTATCCCCTTTTTTTTGTTGAAAACACGGAATTAACTAATATTAAATTTATTAAATCCACAAATGGATATGTACTGGATGTACAAATCCCAGTATTGGTGGGAAGATCTGTACCCCCGGGCTATTTGGGGTTTCCTTACCGAGTTTGCAGCAGTAACACCCAAAGGATAGAGAAGTAAGTTATCACTTTTTTAGAAAGATTTCACATTTCCATCTTTTTTGGGGGGACATATACACATGTGTATACATAATATTTAAGGGCTGCCGCCCCTGCCGCCGACCCCGGTAAAGAATCGGGGATTGCTGGTG